TGACAATTTAGTTTGTTAGTTAATAGTTTCCGCCTATCAGGCATCACTTCTCAATGTTCATTGTAGACAAATATTCCTCATTATTTCTGCTTGTCCTTAACTAATTAATAGTTTTATGAATGAATTGCATAAATGAATGTCATTAAACAATTTAGTCTGTTTCTAAGAATTTGTCTAAAATCAAAATCATTTGAATGAACAAGCTTATCTCGTCATTGTAATATCAGTATTATCTAGAAACATGTTTGGAGAATATCTAATTATTGACTGATTAACACATCTACTAATTGCATACAGACATCATAGATCCTTAACTACAATGAGAAAACGGCTAGTCGATAATTTCCATTCTGTGCACTTTTATTAGAAGTTCAATCAGATGTTGAGCTTCATGTATAATTTACTCGAACACCTTCTTACTAAGATTGGAATTAAAGTTTCAATGAATTTGGAGTAAAACATTCAGCTCTGTGTCTGCTTGATAAATAGGAATACATCTTCATTACCGATAAAATTCATTGTTTCATGTAATGATCCTAGATTTTTAATATTAAAGGAGGTTGTGTAATGATCAGTTGCATAAAGACGAACAGAGAGATTCATGTCAGAAATTCATAGTTTCGTATTTTACTATGCTTTCTATAATTATGGACGAGTTTCCACTGATAATACGTGTCTAATTATATTTCCATACGTAGTTGCTACATGTTGCATGTAACATAAACTAAGGTTATACGTTTAATATACAATTTATATAAAGCCTTCGTTCACTAATTTTATGGATTTTGTTAGGTATGAACTTTATAATCAACAATCACTATATATTGACCGAAATTAGCTTGAGATATTTATTATTCTAAACTGTTGAACTGAATTAGACGACGTTTTAATCATATAACTTCCAAACACAAACATTATGTCATTTAAACGTCGGATTGGGACAGGGAACGATTATTGTTTTTACCTAATGAAATATCTATGTATATATGAGGATAAGAAATAATTGAACAAAGGGCTTTTTACTTGTATACTTTCAGTCAGAAAACTTGTCTCTGTTATTTTTAATGAACAGATATAAAGTTCCTGTAATCCTCATCGACATTGTGGTGAAGGATTCTGATTTTGTGTTTTCATTAGGTAAGAAGGAAAGAATATTTAGTGATTTCATGCAATTGGTTCCCTTTATGAATTTAATTAAAGCAAGAACAAATATTGGTGCAGAATGGTATGAGTTCATATTATTTCGAGGTTTCTCGTCAGCTGCTTACAAACCAAAATTGTGATAGAATTTTTACATTGAGATATAGTGAAAACAATTGACATTGATGAGTGTAAATAACTGGGTTACAATAATAATTATATATATATATATATGCTAGAACAGGTCAGAGGTCAAAAGGAATTAATTCGGGTTGGGTGGTATAATATTGGAATTGAATAATTATAAGATAGGTTACGTAATAATAATAAGATAGAATTTGAAAAGTTAAGATAATTTAAGAGGATCAGGTGGCGGAATTGTGTGAATGATAATGTGGTTTAAGAATTATGTAATAGGGGAGGAGTATAAATATGTGCCAAAGCACATACATTGGAAGAACTGAGAGAAGAGTGCATGTCCGCATTTCTGAGCATGTTCCAAAAAACTTGAGGCTGCGAGGGAATAAGGCCTTCAACAGCGCAAAGGCGCGTAAACCGGTATGAACAGCCTAGAGTTCTGATTGGTCCTGCTTTCCACCTAGCCCAGCCAGTTAAGTCCAGAACACCAATCCGATATGAATCATGTATTTCAAACATTCTCGGTTTATATACCAAACAAGCAGACCACAACGTACGACAAAGTAGAAAATAACATTTGTACAAAATTTGGCCAAGTGTGGCTGTGAACGTGGGAGGTGGTGATTAATAAACAAGGAATAATTCAAGAATGGAAAATCGTATAATAACAGTTCATAGGTTGAAATAAAGCTAATGATAAGAGAGACATGAATACAAATAGTTTAGTTAATTAACAATTATACGATAAAAATATACGTATAGTATTGGTCCACAAATAGATCCAAAAAATTACCACTTATTATTCTTATCGGGACACAACACTTATGCATTAATGTTATGCAGTTTCCTAATAACATTTTTGTCGTATAAACCTTCCGGCTAATTGTTTGTATACGGGATGCGATGTATTGCTGTTATCACATTTTCGATAGCATGTTTCATGTAATATGTTCGGATAAAAATATTTATTAGTTGATGAGATTTTTATTGTACTAAATGAGTATTAAGAAACGGACAAAAACTGACCTATTAGTCAGTCAACTGTTTTTAATGTGCTACTATATTCTCTTTTAAATATCGAAGCATAGGAAGATAGATGATACTCATTTCATTTTATTGTGTTTTCATTCTGAAATGGTCTGAAGTTCTGGAATGGTTCAGAGATTATGGGAGCATGAAGCGAAGGTTGATTGGTCACTCGACCGCCATGGTTTTAGTGGATTAAAGAGTTATTTGGAGATTTACATTCTCTGAGAATACGTTGGTGCACATATCCTGTAACACCAAGGTTGATGAAGAAAGCAGTTGTGATATGATGTCGTTTGTTCTGAAAATTGCAAGGTCTGTATTTTAAGGATTGGGAGAATTAGAAGGAAAACGATTGATAATCATACAAATCTACACTTCAACCTTCGACTCAGTATCCAGTTCATCATCACCACAGGAATCTAGAAAGCTGATTTAATTGTATGTTCCAATACGGAATATTAAATAAATCTTATCATACTGGATAATCTCACAGTAGATACACCTAACCTAAATACGATAGTATCCTGCATAAAATAAATTCCATGATGACTTGAACACATTCGCTTTAAATATTGTCCATGATTTAAAACCAGAAGTAAAGATGGATAGTGTTGAAGCTTATTGTATATCAAGCGAATCAAAGAGACAAACCAAATAAAAAACAACCACAGATGAACAAAACCTGAGGATTACTAGTTATCAAGCGTTCAACACAATACCTAAAGATGAATAAAATTAGAATACTACTTACTTAGTGACTGGCTTATAATCTTATTGTAAATATAGCTTCAAGTCAACATTAGTACAATAAACGTGACTTATAAAGGAACTATACCATACACTTTTAATAATTCAATACTGAATTAGCAACACATTTGTAAAAATAAACTTCAAATATCAACGGGAAGAGACTGGAAAACACCTAAATTCAAAAACCGAGAGAAATAGCTAAATTACCAGCATGTGGTCATAGAGAGTTGTGAAGTGTATTGGCCAACTGAAATATCAAAACGAATAACGTATGTAATCCACTTCATTTGGATTGCTTTTATTGATCTGAATGTAAGTTGTTACATTATCAGTAGGAGGCTATCTTGATAGTGTAACTATGCTAACCAATTAGGCACTACATTTTAGTTTGATACTTGCAACATAATTTATCACGGTTTTCTATCAATAGTGGCTACCATTAAAGTGATTTTTGGCAGATCGCCTGATGCATCAGATAGATATGCTATATAAATATCAGTGACTTGGATAGAGATAAAAGCATATTTTTAAAAGATTACTCTTGCAACTTAACTGCTTATAAAGCAAAACATATTGTACACGGTATTAAATTTAAATTCGTTAGTGAGTCAGTTCCTTGTAAACACTGATTGAAGCAACGACTTCGTTATGAACACTTCAATATAGAGTGTACAGATGTAACACCTACAACATTGGGTAGTTGCAAAACTTTAGAGATCATGTTGGGCGAAATATAAAGTAGCAGTATTTTCACCATGAAATAACTCTAGGTTCTTTCATCGGTCAAATGAAGAATGTAGCAGTGAAGATATTATGTTGCCTAGAGTAACCATGTTAAACAAGGATAGTATCTATGCACAATGTCATCAGCTAATACAACGGAAGTTAAACACCTCGTGAGTATCCAGTGAGCTCAGATCCAAGGGAGAACTGCAAATATAGGCTATAATGCTTTTAATAATCGATAGTTTTACGGCAGAATGTAGTCTGTCACACTGAATAGTGTTTATGGAGCGTTACTAAATAGTGTTGCAAATAAAATACGAGAGTCTGGTGGAATAAATTTCTAGTGGTTTGTCTAAGTTAGAGGGTGAAGAGCAGTCATACAACTTGTTTAAAATTGGTGTGATCTTTGATAAATACTAATCCAAGTTACGTAAACTAATTTCTTTTTGTGTATAGCTATACCAGTTGGAAAACAGATTGATATGTAGTAACGAAATATCTGAGACAATTTATCCAGTTGACTTCCTTTTACTTTATCAATCTGTGTGAGGAAGCATTTACCACTGCAGCGCAATACAGATTGTTACCAACTGATATAGTAGAGAAATATAAAAAATGAAACCAATGTTCGTAATAATGTTGTATCCTCTTTCAGTTGGAAGAACGCTGGATTTATAATTGAGTAAAGTTCCCTGGCTACTGAACAGATTGATATGTAGTAACGAAATATCTGAGACAACATATCCAGTTGACTTCCTTTTACTTTATCAATCTGTGTGAGGAAGGATTTAGCCTAGAGAAAGGTCTTTAATTTTATTCTTATGTTTTATTTCCTTAAATACTAGTATGCAAATTCTACTGACTATATTCAAGTTGCATCAGATGACTGAAGTATGTGTTGAAAATCTAATTTATCCTTCACTCAAATAGGGGTCATAGTTCGATGGTCACCAGCTATGGTATAATTATCAAACAGATTAACAAACTTCTTGAAAGTAAACTTCGAGATATTACTGAAGCTATAATTTACAAAAATCCTGTTCTTACACTAGAAAATAGTTAAATAACAACCAACAGTCTGCTAAATTCCTACTTAAGCCACTCTTCATTAGGTCAGAATATAATGCAAATGTGATTAATATGTACTTTATTTGAAACGGTTAATTGCAAGATAAGTAATATAATAGAAAATTAACTAAATGTTCTATTATTGCACACAACATAAAATGAACACATTGAAAAGGCACAAATATTTGAACAAAGTTTGTATTCCAACTGGAAGTGATTGATCGGTTAAAAAGGCTTGATGTTTGGACAGGTGTTAGTCCAGTCTGCCAATAGAAGTTCATTTGCATAAATTGCGTTGATGCATACTATAGGAGATGTATATAAAAACAAACAAGATCAAACGGTGGTCAATCAGCTGATAAACTCACTTCTCAAACTTCAAACCAAGTATCATTTTTGATAGACATATTTTGAATGTTAATAACAGAACTATAACTAAGCTACGATGTGTTGGCGAATGCGTGTTGTATCCACGGTATAGCCAAACACGTATGTCATAGAAATCTGGCTATCTGCTGTAATAATTCCTATAATAATCTATCTTATTTAAACAATACTAGATGGTAGAATGCAGTCAAACCAGTATACAATGAATAAAATCTTACAACTATGCAAACGGTGGGATCAACCAATAGAAGTAAACCAATTCAGATTAAAATTTGGTTGTTTATCTGTGTGCACCTCAATAAAATAATGTGAATGTAGTGTTGACGTCTTCATTTGAGCATTAAATTACAAAAATTAAGCTATGCATTATTAGGAATTAATAAAGTTACTATTTAACGACAACCGTGTGAAAGACGAATTATGTAGTCATGGAAAAACCGACTATATGAGAAATAAAAATCACACATATTGTTATGCTATCTAGTGCATATCACAAGAGCTATGTGTTCGGTTGGAATTGTCATGACTCTTATCCTTGAAGAAATATTGAAAACTCTTAGGTTTTGATGCACACTTCCATGTGGGATGACAGAAAACACGTTTGAGCATCTGGTTACTACTATACATTACTTACCATTCCATTGATTAGCCACTCGCATCTTGCAAAATGACTCAGACAATGTATTGTCAATTGATCCAGTTGATGAAATCCATGGTATGACACTTGCTGTAATGATTTCAGTCGACGTATTCAAAGTTCTTTGATACATGAATGAGTTGATTGAAATCCATGTTTTCCCCAAATCCTTACTCATCATTACACCTCCACCATTTGCTCCCAAACCGAACAATATGCCAAGTGGATTTGTGTACGCTATAATCTGTTCAACATATGGTCCGACATCTGAGAATCGAAAAGAAATCAATGGAAACATATCTGACATTGTTTTGTCAAAATAAGCCTAAACAAAATTTTCGATGAGCCTAAATTCTTAGCAACTATGTATTTCATGATTCTGTACAATGGATGTTTTAAAATACTAAACGTTTGTAGTTATGACTTATTAAAATACTTTATTTGTGCTACATGAACTAAAAATTCTCTTATGACCTTATATATCAGTTCAAGTAGTCATGTATAATTAATAGTAAAATATGAAGAGAATGAATTATAAATCCTCCTTCCAAGTACAAATTCTGCCATAATTAGCTTGTGGTGTCGGTCTTTAATGTAAAACATTTGTTTTCCTTCATTATGATAATGTTTGGTTTTATACATTATGTCTTGTAAACTGAGTCGGATGTTAGTTCGATACATTCATGAATAATCAATTTTGATAATTGTTATTCTATTGATTTACAATCTGGTGTCAACTAACTAAGGTTGGTTAGCACATCATGAATGTGATAAAAATAGGACAATAAGTAGAATCGAACAGAGGTGGTAGTGGATGCTCTCCCGTTGCAAAGTAGTAAGCTCTGAATATGAAAAGGTTGATTATTCTGAAGAAATCATCATACTTGACGATTAATCTAAATCTTAGTTGTGTGGTGTGGACTACTGTAGTCGACAGATGTAAGTAGTATTTGTCATCAATCGAAATTGAAATGCCTGGTGGTAGAAAGTTGAGATCGAAGAAAGAGAACAAGAATAGCGAATGTTTGGTATGGAAACGAAAGAACAATCAAGTATGAGACAATTGACTGACATTTTGCAAATGAAGTGATTATTTTGTGGTTCTCAGATTTTACTAGGATGTTCTATAATTTTATATTGTAATGAATTTGGTTGTGCCCACTGGTGTTCTTGTTTACTACAGTTGAACGAAATAGGTTTGCATTGTGAGAATATTCAGTATTGATTTAAACATATGTTTACTTGTTATTGGGATTTCTGTAGTTTTACAAAATTGAAAAGGAATTATTCGTAATTGAAATAAAAGATAACTTTAATAAACATCCAATTAACTTTGAGATTCGGGTGACTAAAAGCTTTCAACAGTGTGTTGCTGAAACGGATGAAAGACTCAGTAGACACCGAACTTTGAGGTCAACAGACTGGATTCCGTAAGGATCGGTCGTGCACAAACCAAATCGCTACACAACAGACCAATGTTGAATGAATGCGAATCCGAAATGAAGAGAATGAATAGGAATTAGATAGTGTTGGGAAGGGTTGTCCAGGACAGAGATGGATGGAGAATGCTGGTGGGTGGCCTATGCTCCTACACTAGGGGTAACAGACGTAACTATGTAGTTTTGAACTTCAAATATCCACTGTTGAATAATAAAACACAACAGATTGTCTATGATTACTTACCAAACCAAATTCTTTCAGGCAATTTACCAATCTTGAAACATCGTCTCACCAAATCTAATGAACCCTTCATACTAAACGCACGTGCACAATAAAACAAAATATCACCAACATTTAGAAATGTGTTCGCTTCACGGTCGGGCAACTGTACCAAAGGGTTCCGCATTGCAACGTAATGAGGTAAGTTGTAAGGATCTGAATGCAAAAGGTCAATACAAGACAATGTTGTTGAATGACACATCACAGAGTCACTGAGAATTATTTTAACTATCCCAAAAATCAATAAAATGATAGAGAATTCTTTCACATTAACGTGATGTGACTGTAGATAAGTAACCAATGACAAACATTCCTTATGGTGATGATTGACAAAATTCGAGGTCATTTTAGTAGGGGAGTGTAAGAGAACTGCATATAGTTACAGTGTAAACATATATAGCTGATACTTCTCAACAAGGAGATCAGTGTTTTTCTTTTTATCTTTTGTTTGCGATTGTACATTACTAGCAGTTTTGTATGATCAAATGTAATATCATTATGGAAAGCCTCCAAATAATGGAGGACTAACTCATCTTTTCTCTGAAAGCAATTAACAAGCACCTCAAATTTTGATAATGATTGTGATTTCAGTAGCATGAGAAAAATTCAGTAAATTATGATGACTTGTAAAGTTGTATTTGTATGTGTGAATACTTGATGACAGTATGATAACTCGGATGCAATGCAAAGATTGAAATCTTTTTCACAACAGCGGAAATTTTAACAGCATTTTCCATTTAAGGTAACGTATCCGACATACAAGGTAAACGTATTTCCCATAATGCAGTCATTCCTTGGTATGTAGTGCTGATTCATAATCATGTCATGAATTTGGAAAAATACACACCGATAAAACTCACAAGTGTAGTCAAGTTGAACACGCAGACGATATTTGAACTTGTAAAACCTTTGTTTTGCGCAGCTATTCACTATAGGACTACCGCGTTCATAGGGTTTGCACACGATTTCGACTAGAACTGGATATTTCACAATGGTTGTACTACGAGATGGATTAAATTTCAGAATAAAGGTGACTTCATACTTTGCACCAAAATATAAACGTCCTGCCTGAAACGAGAAAATAAAATCCTTAATTGTTGTTTCAGAGCAAGAGTTGATATATGTTTGAAATTTATGTTTCGTTTTGTAATATGAGACGATTCCAAATGATGACTAACGTAGGCAAACAAAACAAATGTATTTTACCTCCCCTATGCTTGGTGAACGGAATTGTACAAACTTTGAAAGTTTCATTGGTACAGTAAATGACAGTGAATGCTGGTATTAGATCGATCTCGTGTTCTCGGTTAGGTAAATGAAGCAATGTTTCGATGGATTTAAATGAGTTTGAATGTTTGACAAGAAATACTGAAAATATTTCACAGTAGAAACTTAAAATTTGAAATGACTGCAGTGGTTAAATAGATTTCCCTCGAGTTGGAACTATATGCAACAACTGATGGTAAACAGATATGAAACATGGAAGTGAGGTGTTTTATCTGTTTCCTGTAATACCTTCACAAATACAACTTTTGTTTTAGAAAGGTGATATTTCACTTGTAAAATCGAAATTTGAAATCGAAAATGTTTGACTATGACCCAGAAGCTGATAGAAAAAATATTATTTTTATGTAGCAATGCGGTTGAACAATGAAATCAAATGATGAAGTGCCCTTAGAATACTTCAGTGATATTGCGCAACAAAGATTACAAACCATTTATGGATAATGAAAACTTCACGATTCAGTTGACTGAACGTTTGTTATATTTGGTTAACAGATCGAATGGATGGAAGTTATCATTAATGTATTTAGTGTTCAATAACTATGACGTATACAACATTTTCTAGTACCTTTTAGTTCATTTACTGAGTGGAGTGCTATGTAGGGAATGTAATTTTGATCGTTAATTTTATTTCAGGCATTAGATTTCAACGAGTTTGTGTTTTCCATCTGGCATATTCATGGCAGATAGCTGCAGACAACTCCAAACTTCAGAGATAAAAACTAGCGATAGTTTTAATGTTGTATGGAGTATTCACTCACACCTGAATGTGCATGAAAATTGAGCACTTATCGAACATTGAAGACGAGACTGGTAACTTGAGTTTATTCATTATGTTGATCAAGTACAAAATGATCGCTAAAACGTTGTAACATACCTTATGGAAATAAATAGTAATTGGTTAGTGAGTTAAGATAGAAATGTTTGATTATAATGAATAAAAGTGATTATGTTATGTTATAGAATGATTTCTGCAAGAGACGTCTACTCTGATTTCACTGAGTGTTAACTGATCACATTTTTACTATTATATGATATAACGGATTAATTTATATTGTATTATTTGTTTGAATCTTTCCATTGTTTCTTAGAACTGCCATTGATCAGTCTCTTATTGACATGCGTGCATCCTGTGGGGATTGCTTCGATATTGCCTTACGTCGCAAGCATTATAAGCAGAGGTGGATGGTGGTTAGCAGTGAAATCCAAGAAGAGTGTTTCGTTCTATTTGAGACTCGTCCTCGATTGCACTGCTAGTCACCATCCAACTTTCTGATATAACGGATTGTTTAAAATATTATTTTCCCTCTCATGTTTACTACAATGATATAACTAGCCACGCTACATCAGATCCAGGATTCACGACGAAGAATAGGAAACCAGAATAACACTAGATAATATCTCATTCAATACAGTTATAAACAGTCACACCCAGTGAATCAGACGTAGAAACCAATAAGATTGAAAGAAATCACACATAAGAAGGATTTAACAAAATAAAATTTCTTTTCCACTCAATCGTTTACTCAAACTACACATTCGTATTAATAGTTATATGGCAAATATATGTCTATAGAAGGCTAGAAAAGATTGCATCATAAAGTGATTCAAGATTCGAAATACCAAATGCAGTTGTGTATAATATTGTCGACTATTCACTTACATGAATTATTAATTGGCCCTCAGTTTCTCAGTACGTCAACTATCAATAATGAACTCAATATGTAATCACGATGCTTATAACTAGACGACTACCCGCAAAAGAACATAAGTCTCAATTATTTCATCCTCTGAAAAATCGGGATTTAGTGCAGTGTCACCCAGATAAGGTTGCAGGAACTGTCCTTATGGATGTTCAACACTATGTCACTAAACTATCCTTGATAGTATCTGATGCTGTCAAATTCTCTAAGATGCTATTGAGAAAACGGAACAGATGGTAACTAAAATCATAAGGGAGATGGAAGATGACTTTATTATCAATTGTGACCTCTATGAACGTCTTAGACCATCATGTTCCACTATACTAGGAATATATGAATTCCCGAAAGTTCAGAAGAAGAACATCTCCCTATGTTCTATACTTGATATGAATAACTCTCTATATCATTTCTTTGCTAAATGGTTTGCTGAAATTCTACAACCCGCGAGAAAATCACATCAGTATATACAACGCTCATGATTCGTTTGATTTTGTCGATTCAAAAATATCATTGTAAATGATCTCATTGTATGGCACTTCTTTCTTTACAAATGTTTCACTCACAGAAACTATGTGATTTTTATGTGACGATATTGAAATAACAACATTGATATTAGTACCCTAAAACATTATCTAGAAGAGCTATCTCCACGATGTACCCTCAATGTGCGATTCAGGTTTAGTAATCATTTCTATGGACAAACCGATGAAATTGCAATGAGTTCACCACTAGCTCCCTGCACTCTTGACTGATTGTTTCATGGATAATCTGAAAAATACAGTACTTCGACCGATAGTTGAGAGATTTCACTTATCTAAGAGATGTATGGATGATACTTTATGGTATTAGTGACTGATAATCGGTCTCATCTTGCTGCAGACACAGTCACTACCTGGTTCAATGGTATAGGGTGTAGACATCTGTTCACTGCTTCCAGGCACACTTGTTCTAAGAGTCAGGCAAAACATTTCGTCAGGACATTGAAAAATGCTATTAATCCCATTATTGCTTCCACATTTGATGGACTGGAGAGAGGAGTAGACACAGTTCTACTGCAATATAGAAATGCTAAGCATTCTGTAACGAAAGAGATTCCAACAAAGCTAATAAAAGGAAGAATCCTTCGTTCGAATATGAGGCGTTTAGAGTCTCCATGTGTTACATGTTATCGTGGAAATGATCTTCGACCAGTCATGAAAATTGTGGTGAAGAATGTTGCAAAATCTAATATTGAAATCCTAGATATCAATGATTTACGTTCACACAACCGATATAATGATCAAACACAATTGCAGGAACCAAGTGAATCTGTTCCAATTCCGGTTTTTAATTCTAATACTAATGAGCACATCCTAGATCATGCAGAATCTACATCCAACACACAATCGGACAAACACATGATGAACTTAAGGAAAAGTGCAATCGATTACAGAAAATTAGATTCCCATTCAAGCTGTGGTGGTTGTGGTATTTGTACAAACTAATGATTGCTTTGTACTTGACTGCCCGCTGATTATCAATTCCAAATATAACGCGTTCCCTTGTCTCGGCTTGTTCTACTTGAGTTAAATTGCTCTATTTCGGGAGTTCTTAGTTTTGCACATAAGTTCGAATACTTCAGATTACCATATACTTTCAAAATTTGTGAAGAAAAAATGGATCACAATGAAATTTCGTATTGGTTCAATAGTTGTCGTCACTCAATTTAATTCATGTTGGAAACAGAGGCGAATGAGGAATTTCATTTTCTTGATGTCCGGTTGAAAAGTTCATGCGGTTCTTTACAGGGATCTGTATATAAAAATTGACCTGGAATGGTCGGTATACGGATTTCCATAGTTGGATTTTATTGAGTAGAAAAAGATAATTGATTCACTCTTTATCCTCAAGGTCTGGGGGAATGTTACAATGATGAAGTAGACGACGAACTACATCAACTTCGATATTCATTAATCAGAAATGGTTACCCATCTAGATTAGTAGATAAGAACATATTTCAAAATCCCTGGATAAAACCTATTCGAATAATCTCCGTCTTGTCTTCTCAAGCTGGCCTACTATTCACAGACAAAAAGGGATAAACTTCTGCTGTTGTTCATGTTGATGTGCATCTATAAATCTACTTGTTCGCGTGGAGCAATATTATTATTATTATTATTATTATTATTCAATTATTATTATTATCATCATCATTATTTTTGTGTTTACCATTTCCCTTCATATCTGTAAAGCGAACAATTGTCTTTCACAATTCTGACCTGTAAATTATCCTCGTCCCTCTATTCTTCTCTAACCCCCTGATTATTACGCACTCTCGTTTGATATTTGGAGTCTCGAATCACTCCATGATGAGAAAACCATTTGGCTCGAAGAATAAAACTCCACCAGAATGATCTACCTGAGCTACAAATTGTCTCAACAATCTCAAATCTTTGTTCATCCTACAGACATATAATTACGATACAACTATAAAGGAAATTCCGTTCGCTGAATTCTCTTTATGTTTATGCAATGACAATGAATTGTTTCAAGAAATAGTCGGTAGGCTATGCTTGTTTGTCCACAATCAACAACCATTCGTACTTCAATTCCAATATTACACACCATTAAATTATTGTGTGGTTCATATTTGGTTCTCAATCGTTTGTCTCATATTGAGTATCTGAGACGCTTGATACAGTACTGTGATCCATCCACCTGGCGTGGTCTATTATAAATATGTCACGTTCAACTGGTCAGTTGTTGTATAACTCGATATCAAATATAGGACCGAAGAAAATCACTCGTTCCTGTTAGATCATTATGTAAAATTATCTCATGGATCACTTAAATCTAGAAAGCTAAAATGTGTATTTCTCAATATTACCAGTTATTCTTTTCTTCAAATAATATGATTATGTTAACGGTTTTAGACTAGTTGATGATGATTTCATTTGCAATCGGAAAATTAATTCAATCCCTTTAAATACTTCAACTAAATTTTGAGTGAGTTAAATTGAACAACATTATTTTCAAAATATGTCTTGAAACACAGAAACTTACTATGAACTGAAGTGATTTAGTTACTGGGTTTAAAGGAGTTTTCAATGTTACATTATCTATGTTGCCTGTTTGATTAACTACACTGATGGATTTTATTTCTGGACTGAGATAGAAAATTATCGATTGTCTTTCACATTCCAATCCGGTACCATTCATCATTTGAATGGTTGTCTGAAGATACACCACATCTCTGAGTATTGGATTAAACAAAATGTATAATATGTAGAGAGTTATTTCATATCAATCGGTAAAACAGTTCCAATTCTGACGATTCAATTCAAATGGTAGTTGGATTCGATATTTGGTTTTAAAGGCTTTTCAATCTAGTTTGATATGACAAACTGATTACAATCAGCAGAGAAATAGCAAGAATATTTATAACTTCGCATCTACTTAGATTTCAGTATTTAAATATTTTGAGTACAGCGTAGACATGTATAGCTCGAAAAGGGTGAAATTATTAGAATTTTGTACAATAATACGATTTTTTTATTGCTAACCTAATCATATAATGTCGAGTATTGTCAGAGATCTTGTAAAAATTAATGTTAAGTTTGTCTTACATTGTTCCTACTCGATCCCTTTCCACTCCTTTGTATATTATTTTATACTACTTATTTACATTCAGTAAGCAGATTTTTCCCAACAATTTTTACACCTATGTTGTAACGCAAGTTGTAGTGTGATATTCTGAAATGTTCACATATACTTATAATGCTTATTGTACTTATCATTGTATTTATCATTATAATCACTGTACCTTAATCGCTGTAGCGGTTATCCACAGTTTTGTGCATTTGTTTAAACGCAACAGTTTCCATATTGCTTTGCTCTTGGTTCGGGTTTCGATTGTTCATAAACTGTTATCAAATTTAGACACAGCTATTAGCTGTCCTTTGTACTATCGTATGTTGTAATTATTCTTTATGTTACTGTTACAGGAAGCCTTTTTATTTCATGCTTGAAGGATGCGTTTAAACGCCCCAGACACCCCACAAGTTGAGGTTTGTAACTAAATGTTGTGTATTATTCAATAAAGAATCGCTATTGTAGACAAATTGTTGTTTTGGAAACTTCGGTTTTGCGCGTATCTCAATCAGGTGACTTGGACGCTTCGATAGATCTAACAGGTAAAATGAATTTTTTTCTTAAATTTGAAGAGAATTATTTTTGATGTTGATGTAAACGAGTGGGTAGTTCCATAAGTTAAATGTTCCCAGCTGATTGTTTACTGTGTATCAGAAATATATAAAATAGTTGGTTCATGAGGAAACATGATAACATTAGGTTTGTTTGTTGAAATTAAATCAAATCCGGTAACTGTTGGAGGTATCACGGAGAACAATGTCCGATTTCTGCCTTCTTCATTGCTCCTGTTTTTCCACTTTTCAGTGAACGTGAGTTTAGTTGGTTCGAAGTAAATGGTAATGAATAAAAATCAATAACGATTTCATGAGAGTTTTGAGAAACAACTATATCACCTTCCATGCTTAAATATTGTCTTTGACAGATCGATTGATTTAACAAAAGTTAAAATGTTTTGTGCTGAGATAAGTGGAAGATAATTCAGGTACGATTTTCACCGGCTTTCGGACACTTTTAAGAGCAAAACTGATTTAAGCTTAATAGTTATTATTTACTTTATAGTCTGAGGATGAAAAATTACTTAGTCATGTTCCTGTTCACAAGACTGGCAACAAGGTTTTTAGAAAAATAAAAGTATTGACTAAAATCATTGTATAGTTATTTGTCAGTAATCCCTCAAAACACGTTTAATAAACACAGAGACTTATCTGAAATAAAATGCTATAATTTACAGGTCAGTTTAGTAGTTACCCACGCTACTCATGTTTGATAAATGAAAAGATAGACACTTCTTTGAAAACTGATTTGTCAAGAGTCAGCTAATGGGATTATATCGTTTCTTTTCTACATGGGTTATTTGAGTCCAGCACAAGTTAATATTTCTGATTTTGTGTCCGAGACGTGTTGTGGATAAACAGGATACACAGTGATGATGATTGACCTATAGATTTGAAATTTATAACTCAGATGAGTAATCTGTACTACAACAAAACAGCCACATCTGTTTAAGACACCAATTTTATGTTTAAACAGTGTTTTATCTGATGGATGCTTAAACGAGTTGTGTGTCTGGTTTTAAGGTGTTATGAGAAAGATTTCCAAGGAAATTTATCACCGAGAATATTAACACAACGAGGTTTGAAACCAAATTAAGAAAGAAATTAAACTTATTCATTCGGTCACTTGAATTTGGGTATGATATTTGTGTTGCTTGTTGGATAACAGAAAGATCTCCAAACTCTTTGTTCAAGACTAAAGTTTGTACTCTTCACGTGAGTAGTCATCAGCGTAATCGTTTATATGGAACATTATTATAGACATTTGGACACTATCTGAACAATACATTGACTGTTTTATATAAAATTGATATTCAAGTGAAAAATGAATTCGCGTTAGAAGTGAACCAATTATTCCATGAAATAAGTATATACTAAAGGTCAGAACGACTCAAACATACCTATCAGGATAATCACTGAATGTGAACGATGACAGTTGAGATAGTACAACCTGAATTGATGGTTTTTCTGACCCTGTTCTTACACAACTCACAGATATTTTGCTAATATTAGTGACAGCATTGAATCGACCAGTGATTTGCAACGGCCAAACAGTTCCGTTTTCTACAATTTTACTATCACTCAACTGGATATCCACTGAAAGACTGAGAGTGTTTCGCATTAAGGGTACACTTACCGTACCTAAAATAGGTGATAATTCTTATTAGATAGTGCATTGAAGAAGACGCTGAACATTTTATTCACTCTGAATTAACAGCTAGTGTTTTAGATATCAGGACTAAATTGGTTAGGAGCTAACCAAGAACAATAAAATTCAAAACGGTACTGTCAAATAATCAATCAAGTAGTAAGTTACAATACATTGAATAGTGGTGACAAACAACAAATCAATTTATGTTATTCCACTTCACATAATGGCAATGAATTTGCTTGCATTTTCATGAGATATCTTGGATACTGTTTGTTAATAACCTTTATTGTGGAACATTTTCATTGTTAACACACAGAAAGAATTTATCTCTCTGTCTTCGTTACTGTAATGAAAGGGTGAGATGTCTTTTTTTATATAAAGTTTCCTCAAGATTTGGGCCATATCCACGAATGTTTAACAACATTCTTCTGATTGGAGAGAAATTAAAGAACAGTATTCAATTTACTGCTTATCTGGTGTTTATTAGTTAAAACATGTATTAAGCTAGATTTTTTCGACTGTGAGGTAGGCTATTGAAAATTACAGGATGAAATGAAGATCAAAATTTCAAGGAAAACGGTAAGCTAGTGTAAGTGTTTTTCTGTCAAGTTTTATTCCAAAATACTTCAACTTATTTCACTGTTTTTAATCATGTGTTTCAGTAATAGTTTTAGAGATATGTTCTTGCCTAACTTTGATCTTGTACACTGGTGTGGTGTATTCTACTTATGTCTGTTGACATAATTAATGTGTAACACCAGTCAGAAGTGGAATGGCTGACAGCCGAAGGTTGAGAAGATTGAATTGAAGAGAATGGGAATGTAGAGAGAGAGTGATTGTAATAGCAATGAAAGAATGATGGACTTCGTTCACTACACTCAGTCAGTCAGTCAGTCAGTAACAACGTAGAACTTCGTACGTACGTACATCAGTTCGAGTTGCCACACCACATTAGCACAGAGATGCAGTTGTCGATTCAAATCCCGTAGTGGTAGAGGTAGCAAGAGTATAAGCAGTAATCGGGAAGATTAGGGTTTGGAGATGTTATTTAAAGAGTATAATCCAGTGAAATAAATTTGGAAAGAGGAAAAAAGGGACATGAAGAATTCAGAAGATTAGAATTTGGGAGAACACAGAGAGTGGATGCACCTGCGCCATTGCAAACGATTTTGAGCCATGTCATTCAGGGTCTCTAACCATCGGTTGCTATCATCTCGCGGTCCCCAACCAGGTAGTCTACACCTACCAACATGACTCAGTCCACTTGTCAGTGACTTCATGGACTTGTGCCATGTTTTGGTTTGGCCGCCCCTAGCTTTCTTCCAACCTACTCCTATACCACTGAACATAGCACGTCGAGGCAGTCGGTCGTTGGGCATACGTAACACGTGTCCCAGCCATCTCAACTGATGAAGTTTCACTACTTCATCAATTGATTTGCCATCCTTACCTAGTACCCGTTTCCTAACAACTGTGTTACTTACTCGATGGTCCCATGATATACGAGCAATATTTCGAAGACACCTATGATCAAATACTAGTAACCTACGAATATCCTCTACTCTTACCGGCCATGTTTCACTGCCATAAAGTAGGACGGAACGAACTGCTGCGCAGTAAACCCGTCCTTTGGTTGATAGACGGATATCTCGCCTACGCCATAAATGACGCAAGTTGGCAAAAGCTAGTCGAGCCTTCTGTATCCGTGCTGAGATTTCGTCACACACTAAACCACAAGGGCTGATGAGACTTCCAAGATAAGTGAAGCGGTCGACACACTCAACTACTTCACTCCCTATCACTAGTTCGGGTGTCGATGTAACCCAATCCTGAAGCAACATTTTGCATTTCGAGGGAGAGAATCGCATCCCGAACATGCTTGCATTGTTGCTTAGAGTGGTCAGAAGACTCTGCATTTTGTCAGCGTCTTCACCAAATAAAACTATGTCATCAGCATATTCTAAGTCAACAAGTGAACCTCCCGGTAGAAGTTCAACCCCTGTAAATTTAGATGAGGAGAGTGTTATCTCTAAAAGTACGTCGACCACAAAGTTGAACAAGAATGGGGAGAGTGGACAGCCCTGACGAACACCACTTGAGGTAATCAATTCTGATGACAGTTCGCCATAAGCTCTCACTCGACCAGTTGTGTTCGAGTAGAGAGCCTTTATAAGGTTAATGTACTTCTTTGGTACTCCTTTCAGTGACAAACACTGCCATAGAACCTCACGATCAACAGAGTCGAATGCCGCCTTAAGGTCGAGAAATACTACCATTGTGGGGCGTCTGAATGTGTGTCTGTGTTCTAGAACCTGACGTAGTGTGAATATCTGATCTATACAACCACGTCCAGGTCGAAAACCGGCCTGGTTTTCTCTAGTCTGCTCTTCACGAGCTTTGATTAGGCGTCGAAGTATTATTGAAGCTAATATTTTAGACACTATATTAGTCAAACTGATTCCTCTGTGATTGTCACAAGAGGACTTTTGTCCTTTCTTATAGACTGGCACAATCAGTGATTGAGACCAGTCAGATGGGATTACGTCCAGTTCCCAAATTCTACCTAAGACCTCAGTTAATCTCATTGCTAATACTGGACCACCATCCTTAAAAATCTCAGGAGTAAACCTGTCAGGGCCTGCTGCTCTCCCTCGTTTCAGATTTCCTATGGCTTTTTCAACTTCGTAAAGGGACGGAGGACCTACATTAACTTGCCATTCAGGTTGACTAGAGATCGTGGGAAACCGAAGTGTGGCTGAAGGCCAGTTGAACTGATCCCTAAAGTGTTCTGCCCATCGATCCAATCTCCTGGATTGAGAATGAATAATATGTCCATCTTTCTCTGAGATTGTTTCGCTAACGGTCGGGTTCCTAATTCCGGTTTCCTTAACGAGTCTGAACAATTGTCTGCTATTACCTATTGCCGCTGCCTTTTCCATCTCTCTTGCTTTCGCTACCCACCACTGTTCGCGATCATTGCGTAGACTTCTTGTCAGCTTGCGCTTAAGCTGACTCCGCTCTTCATTATGTTCAGAGCCAGGTGGAATGAGTTTCCGAGCATCTATCAGTGCGATAGATGCTGCTGAGATCCAGTGTTGCTCCCTAACCTTCTGGTTTACCTTACTAGCAGATATCACTGCTGTTTCCACAGCTTTTCGGATATCATTCCATGCTGCATCGGGGTGGGCATCACATACATGGCTGCCTAACTGTTTTCCTAGTTGTTCCTGAAATATACTCTTAGCTTGACTATCATTAAGTAGGCCCTAAGAGGTTTCCTTGCAGCGTCTTTCCTACGTCCAGTAAGACGCAAGCAAATACGCGCTCGCACTAGAGCATGATCTGAATCTAGGCATGTGCTCCAGAATGAGCGACAGTCTTCTATCGAGCCCCTCCATCGGTGGCTGATAGCGATGTGATCTATTTGGGTCCAACGTTGGGACGAATTAGGGGGTCGCCATGTTAAAAGATGTTTTTCCTTATGCTTAAAGTTAGTATTTGCAAGGAACAGGCGGTTATCTGAGCATAGCTGCAACAGACGGTCGCCATTATCTGTTCTTTGAGCCACGACACCATAAGATCCACCTAGGTGTCTTTCCCTATCGCTTAGTTTACCTACTTGAGCATTAAAGTCACCGGCCACTATTACTACATCCGAGCGCTTAGCTTTTCGGAGAAGGTCCGAAAGCTTTCTGTAAAACTCATCTTTTACATCATCTGAGCTGCAGTCAGTGGGAGAATAGGCAGAGACGACGAAGAGGCAACGACGAGTGTCCCTATCTTTCCGGATTCTTACTGTTCCGTTCAGTCGGACAGCGCACAAACGACTGTCTACTGGGATCCACTCTAAGAGAGCTAGTTCTGCCCTAGGACTCAATGCTATACCTACGCCGGCGAGGCCACGGGAAGCAGAATCAGGGCTTCCAGATACACGAAGCGTAAATCGAGTCGGTTCTTTATTTTGGCATGGTGAGGTCAAATGAATGACGCTACTTGGATCCTGTATGCGCGTTTCGGAGACGCAGCACACATCGATGGCGCGAGATTCTAAAGTTTTAGCTAAGGAAGCCTGCTGTCCTATTTGGCAAAGTGTTCGTACGTTAAAAGCTCCTACGTGTAGTTTAGAGCGTGGTTTCAGGAGACCAGGAATGGCGTTCCACGTACTCGAATCGTTTGCCCTAGCGGTGCGAGGTGATAAAGAGACGTGAGGAGGGTTAGTCATGGAGATAAGAGAGGTATTAGGAGGTGTAGGAAGGATTTGAATGTGACCACCTTGGTCTCTTGTGCTGTTACGGGTATGAGGGCTGATGTCACTTCCCGGCTGCCCACACCGTGGAAGGGTATTTCTTGAGGAACCTGAAAAGGAAATTGGATTAGTGTTGGTCTTGACGACCTGGGAGCGTGACCGCAGAGCCCAAGGGACAACTGCTTGAGGCCGGTCGCGCACGGCCTTTTTGTGGAAGGTTTTTGACGTGTTAGCTCCGTTCTTCAAAGGGCCTTACCGCCGGAGACGGAAATCCGTGAGGTAAGGTGAGGTGTGACATTTTTAGGGTCGACCTTTTCTAACCCCACCCCTCCTTGTGGGAAGGCAGCATCGCTGTCATGCTGGTTGTCCGAAGGAAACACCTTACTGCTGTCACACCCCTCTACAGTCAGCAGTACGACTTCGCCCTCAGACCTTGAGTTGCTGCTTTTAGTCTTACCGTTCTCCAATCGACCTGCCTGGCATGGTAGAACCTACAGGAACATATGTTCCAGCCAATATAGCTCGGTTGGGTCATCACGATAGGCAAGCCCGACCACCGCGTCAAGGTAGCAGCTTCACTACACTAGTAATATTCTATTCGACTTAAATTTTAGACTTTCGTTGTAAAGATAATTCAGTCTTGAAGTGTTAAGGAAAATATCATACACCTATTCTCATATGTCATCTAAAGTAATATTGTGGTAAAATATTTTAACTGCAAAATAAGTTGCAGAACACTATCCGTTAAGAATAAACATATTTTGCTCAAATTGACAAATTTGAAACATAAAGTGTTTCATGAATTAAGAAACATATCTATGATATTGAATTTTATTAGTGTAAGTAATGACAGTTACCCAAGAAATAGGCACATATGAACTGATAAACTGTAACTCACCAATGTTTGTGATATTTTCGAAGTATATTAACAACTGATCATTTTGATCGGTTGGATAAGTGGACAAATAGTTAGATGAGTAAGCAGTTGTTGTGTAAAATAAGTTAGAACCCAAACTTATTTTAAAATCTTCAATAGTTATTATAGATTCATTGGTGTTGTTGCTTCCAGTTCCACTGATTTGTATTGTAGATTTCAGATAGGTGGAGTTCAGTGGGAATATATATTTCACATTGATAGTTGTTATTTGACCTGGCTGTAGCGTTACACTAGATGGACTTACTTCAATCATAATCTGAAATGAAATATTCTAAGCTTTAATCTAACAAAACTGGTCGACTATTATTTAAGGTACAGATGTTACTTGAATTAAAAAAGACAATTTCAAAATGGTGACTCTTTGTCTAATGTTCTTTACAGAAGCTTTAATGAAACACCGTGTTCAACTACACCTCTGTTGAAATATAGTAATGAAGCTACGAAACTGGCATATTGAGATAAATGATGATCTCAAGAATGTATAGAGCCTAAACAAATATAATTCATGTATGTATTCAGAGGTGGATATCTATACTCGGATTGCGACAAGCTTGGAATGAACGTTTTCAGTGCATAATCCACTGATCACAGATTTCCGACCGTTGCATCTGATATCAGATACAAACTTGAAGTATTATGTGATTTTTGTGGTTTGTTCAATATCTCAACCTAGGTTTATGCATAGACATTTATTTCAAATAATATCAATGTATTTAAGACGAATAAGTGGAAATTACAAGGCGAGTCTATTTTCAGACATTTAGAATTCATCGTTAGAATTCATGATCTTAACCTTCAACCAATTAATGTAGTTTAGAAGCATGTTTAATCATTCTCAGTGATAGTTTATCGAGAAATGTTATAGTAATTCATCAGTTTTATGCTGAAAAGTATACTTTGATTACTTTGCTCATGTATTGGGTGATCGAGAAGTAATATATGCTTTCTCTACTCAGTTGATATTATTTTGCCACTTATTATGGCCTTCATTCCTATTTTACTGTTTAACATGATTACAGCGATTGTTCTATACTTCATGGTCTGTGTTGTCCTCAAATAGTATAATCAATTTCTGTTAATATGGAACTACCATTCACAAGTTTTGTTTAATGGATGATCTTACAAATTCTGTATATCTGTTTGTTATGTAGCATAAATTCCATCTTACATGATCGTAAAATATCACTGGAAACTTCATTATATCACATAGTTTGGTGAAATTGATCTTTTGAGACGTGTATTCTCCGAAAAATTAGTCTAATGCACACCGAAATACAAGTGACTTGTCATTTCGATTAATTGGAATAACCTTAATCAATATTGAAACAGGACACATTGTCTCTGTTCATTTCGAATATGAACAACAAACAGAAAACTGAACACCATTGTTTTCAATTGGTTCGTTATCAGACTTAGCTCTAATATGCAGTTCTATTTGCATGAAAGTTAATTCTGATAAAAATCTAATGGTAAACTACATTGTGTGGTTCTATTTTTGTCTTTCTAATTTACGTTATGAGAATTTTCAACCATTTATTTTGAAGTTGATTTGAATATCTGTCAGTTACGATCAGGATGCTCAAGCTTTATGCTTTTATCAAATATGTACCGATGGATACCCTTTTTCGATACATATTTCCTTTAAGAGATTCATTTGATTATCTAGAACTTCAGGATTAAATATTCCTTGTATCTGTGTGGCGAAGAAAATCATCAAAAAATAAAACTGACAAATGATCTTAATTCAGTCTATGACAAAGTATGTCAACGTTTTAAATGATTTTGAAATTACTGAAGATACCTGGGAGTGCACAGAGTCAACAGGATCGACAACACCATGAATATATGTTTTGCTTAAACTTTGAAACCTGCACTACCCCTCCGAATAGTTCTTCATAGGTTCGGATGCTTTTACTACGCTATAACAAAATGGTTGAGAGATTACCTGCAACTCATAGGAAAACATATTTGTATGCATTCTCTACATGACTCTCCCGAATTTATTGATTACATACAATAAGTGAATATAAATGACCAACTTATCCTTTTACTTGATGTTCAGTTAGTATTCATCAATTTCCTATTCACAAAGACTATTAGCTTTATAAATGATCATGGGATTAATATCGAACTATAAAAATCTTACTAAAAGGAATTAATATGACGATGCACCTGTGATGTACACTTTAAATTTAGCGACGTAATTTATAGACTAAAAGATTGCACAGGAATGGGATCCTCTCTTGACCGATTACTAGCAGATTGTGTCCAATCTGGAAAACAATTAACTTAAAGCAACTATTGACAACTCCCACTAATATAAAATGTATGTGTTTGATATCTTTATCATTTGCAACAATAAATATTATTTGATTATTCATCTTCTGCAAACATTTGATTACTACCACACAGCAATAAATTTCACACTAGAAGTTGTAAATAAACAAAGTATTGACTTTCTTTATGTCACAGTGACAGTAAATCCTGAACATACTATAAGAAGTTCTATCTACTAGAAACCTTCATGCAATGGTCAGCTATAAAGCTTTCACGTCAGGATACACATCTGTTGAAATCAATACTAAATCATACTCCTAGCCACACGAAAATTTAGAATTTGTTATCTCGAGTTCAAAGATAACGAAATGAATCACTTAAAGAGAATAACTGTAGAAAACGGATCCCTATCGATATTTTTTGGAAGGAATATGGAACTCAAACCTCCTAAAGCACAACTAGCCTCCTTACCAAAGAAAACTCTTTATATGAAGATCGATTTCAAAGGTGATATAGCTACAGGCATCCTGAAGAAGTTAATTCCCGACTCTCCCAGTAGAATATTCATCGCAATAACTTTGTGACTATTGTTCTCTAACCGACCAATGTTCATTAACAATCTCAAAGATAAATTACCACATTCGACTAGTTCCATTCCTGTCTATCAACTCATGTGGAGCCAGGTATTTTGGTCGTCCGATGAGTATTTCATCCAAAAGAATTCAAGAACTGTCTGAAAAGAGGCGAGAATGGCTTAATAAGAAGCTCAACAATTGAACACCTTGTGAACACAGATCATTCAATCCAAATTGACTCTGCGTTCAAAGTTATTTGCAAGGTAAGTGGAAAGCTGTCAGAGGCAGTTGTATTGGCATTGTAGAAACATCTGCTGTGTATGTGTGTGTACCATGACCTTAATCTCTCGTAACTTTTTATTCGTTCCTTCTTTCATGATCATCTACTTCACTTCTATCTTCACTACAGACCCTGGATTTTTTCTATTTCTATGATCCTACTAAATGCAATTCATCTCAATTTCAGCATTTTATCTTATCATGCTGAGCTTTCCCTATCCAATCATAATTTCTTTATTTATCTTCATGATGAATATTCAAGGTTTCACCAAACGTATTATTATCATTTTTCTTTAGTAAAAAACATGTTTATTTTACCTCACTGTTACCACGTTCAGCAAAATTTTTTATCTCTACTATTGTAGTTATGATCACTTTGAAAAATAAGTATATGTTTGCAGTTGTACAGCTTTGAAAATGAATCCGCCCAAAACAGAACCTTTCTCAAAACCAATGCTTCTTATCTTATAGTTATCATTAATGGACTTGCAAAACTAAGATTCTATTTTATTGGATTATCTGTAGATTTGTCTTCAGATTATGTAATAATTTTGCGTAAAACATAACTAAATCGGAACTGTGTTGAACAAATAGAAATATGAAAACGTTTGAGTAATAACAAGAAGTTGAAATTATTTCTAAATCAATTATAGCTTACGTCGGTGTATATTGGGAAGCTTGGTATTGGACTCAATACCAAAGTCTGGGCGGTAAAATTCTTTGTACTCCCACTGATATTAACAAATGTTGGGAAAGCGTAGTTTATTGTTGTTGTCACATTGCAATCTCCCATTAAATAAAGAGTATGTTTAAATTGCGTCTACACAATACAAAAGAATCACATTTTTATAGTGTAAAATAATAATGAAAAACAGAAAAATGGTTGATTACAGTGTTGTATTGATTTCTTATATCATCAACATATCACTGTTGTATTTGAAGAGTTATCTTACTGCTTAAGCGTCGTATCAATAGGCCAAATGTCAGGACTAACATAAATTATGTCTTTCCCATTGATGATCAGTAGGTGAGTAACAATTTCATGAATTTTGGTGAATGAATAAATAAATCCATCTTCCAGAAAATTGGCAGGAAATTAATGTGGATATTAAAATGTGAAATAATCGATCATAAATATATACGTCATGCCAACAGTTTGAATTTGAAATCTAGAAGTGACCTAAACTAACAGTGTGTCACTATCAATCAGTGTTTTCGTTATCATAAAAGTCAAGTATGTTTTTATTTGTGAGTAGCCTAATTACTTGACACTCACTACAAAGATACTTTATTTATATCTTGTCTACTTCTAGGAAATGCCAATAATTACGTTATGAATTTCGGCAGAAAACCTTAAAATATTCCAATAACGTGTATCTCACCAAGATAAAGACGAATGAGTCGATCATTATATATAACAGTTATAGTTGTCAGCAAAATAACGAATACACTAGGATTCCAAGAACGACTGATGTTTACCATATCATTTCAGAATGTAGTCACCATCAAATACCTGTAAAATAACAGAACTCATTCTGATGTTTACTATGTTCGTCTTCAGATTGGCAGTCATATGCCTACCATGGTCTTCGAACCGTCTAACGAACCATCAGTAGTGAAAACAATACTGACAATAATGGAACTGTCAACACTAATTAACACTTTACCTTCTGGTGTTCAACTGAAGTTGATTCTGGTTAACTCTTGGACAGACATTTAGATTTGAGGGTAGTGAGAAATCCTCACTATCAAAGCTACTGAGCATGTTTAGACAATCACGTTGAAAGTGAAATATAGACCATGTTGATTTTGATTGGATTCGAAATCTAAACTTTGATTTGTATATCTGTTACTAACTACACGTAAATTAGTTACTAATTTTTTCTGTTGTTTGTGACAAAAATTTGTGTAACTGCGTTTCATGCAGTTTTTAGGTTTCTGGTCGAAACTACTTAATGCATTCATTATGTTGCCATTAACAACTCGAAAATTGATTTAAATGTATTTTACTATAATTGCATAAGGGATCAAGCATGTTTATTTTCAATTTTTATTTAAGAACACAATCCCGACACAGTTTTATCTGAACACAGTGTACAACAGAACACTTACTATTGTGTAGACTTACGCAATAAAGATATTGATTGATGAGGCATGATGGTCCGTAATCCACTCTCACATAACTGAAAAAAATAAACAAAAATCATTAATTTTATGGTTTGTTTGTACATATTAGAAGAGTAATGGAGTGCGTTACCAATTGAATCGGTAAGCACAAAAGTCATGCTAATGATGGACAGAAATTTATTTTTTGGTATGGCGTCAACAAAGTAACGATACAGTCGATTGCAAAAAACGTGTGAACCAAATGTTCTCTCTTATTTAAACTGTAATAATTAATAAAGACATAATCTCGAGATAGAATCACTATGAAATAATTCGCCGTTTCAACTTTCTAGGGATATATTTACGTTAAAAGCATTGAAATCATGTTTCACTTAAATCATAAACTGAACAACGTAATACCACCATTCAAAATCTGAATTGCCATTTCTCCCCAGTATGGGACTCCTCAACAGTTCGCTTTATGTGTACTGCTTTCACGTTTTCAATGATGGTCTAACATTGATCAGTTCATGATTTTAATTAAATTCAGAAATCTCTACAACCATATATTGACATCTAAATCATGTGGTACACGTCATTTTAATGACGTGTATATGTGGTCATAGACGAGTAAATTTCTATCACTATTTTATCACATCAACTGGTTTATCACTTTCTCAGTTATTTCATAGCAACATTCTGTTAATGTTTGAAATCGGATAACTTTTAATATTTATCTATGTACTCATGTTTGAGTAGAGTAAAAATGATCATTTTGATGTTTAGAAAATGCCAATTAGAGAGAATTAATTCTTTATCTTTATATTTAAATTTTTGTCTGATCAGTTCCCATAACAAATTTAAATGAAGCAAGAACTAAATTAAATGGATGATTTCATGAATTCATCATTGCATTTTACTGCTTCCTCTTCCTCTGTATGAATGAACTAGTTTGGTGGTCTTCAATTATTGACGTAAATTGAAATGTGAAAAAATGAATTGGTCTGAGGTACAAAATGGGCCAAAACGAACATAAGATTACTGACTCATAAGTAGTCTTAATCGGTGTATTAATAGATTATTCAGCTCCAGCTGTTCAACTAAAACCATTTCTCGATTTACCAATATAATTCTTATCTAAATCTCTTGAGTTTTTTTCTCATAATTTCACACCGTTCACTTTCGATCACTGAAAGTAAGTGTGTATATTTTTGGAACGCTAGTCTAGTTACAGTAGCATATAAAACAATCAATGAGCAATGTAGGATTTAAGCAGTTTAAACTAACCTACGTTCAGATGTCAAATTAAAGAGAACGAGGTTGATAACCACACATCTGGATTAAATTGTTGTACAATTACTTTTGTAATATTAAGAGCTGCAATACCATTGAAAATTCTGTTGATCCAGTATGTATAGAACGAACAACGTCTTTCAATCGGACACATATTCAATATAAATTCAAACGGTCCTCCAGTACACATTTGTTTATATACATCAGTGGCACTTGGATAATTTAAAGTCCAAGTATTTGTAAGAGTTGTAGTAAATGCCTATGTTTAAAAAATATCAAGACTGAAATTACCACGTTGTATGAAAAGAGTTTTACAATTGGCAAGAAAACGTTTTATAATCCCGAATTTAAAAATTGCTTGGCAAATTCACAAATTAATATACATTTTCCTCACTCATACAATTATGTACTGTACTTATTCAATAATATGTTTCTCATCTTAATATCTGAAAAAGAAAAACTACATGCACAACATGTTTAATTTCAACACAAACATTGGATTAATATATTCATAGATGTATATTAAAACGTGAATGTCCAATTACTTACAACATCATAGACCGATCGATGTTAGGTCACAATTGTAAACCTGTGAGCACTGTACAGCCGTTTCGTTATAGTATGGGGCTCCTCAGCAGTGCTTATCCATGATCCTGCACGCGCGATTAATGTATAACTTCAACCAATACATTATATTGTGCGACCATCTTCAATTGTATTCGTGAGTAACTGTCTCACACCCGACAGGGTTAGAAATTAACATTGTTGTATACTTTAATAGTGGTTTCAAATGTATTACCAATTAATTGTTTGCGATAACATTTTACTTTCATGAACATATACTTTACAACTACGGAATGGCTAATCCTTGTGATCCCACTATTTTCACGCCATATAGATCAAAACTAAAGTTCACTAAGTAGACAGTGTACAGTTTCATATCAATAATGGGTTTAAGTAAAGTGACCCAATTTAAATGAGCCACTTATGGAGAAAATAGAGCTTAACTTTTTTTCCAATTTCTTGCTTTGACATCGTTTTCTTTCGTCGACTCATTAGTATCATAGTAATTGATGTTAGAAAATTGCTATATATAATAGAACACTTCCATTTGATACAAAACTGTTATTGGAAATTACGAACTAGTAAGAAGATTGAAAGATACGTTTATTTCACTTCATTAAAAATCTTGAAGGTACATGACATGAGTAAACTTCTGTTTCCTAAAGTGATACTTACTAATATTCTGATACACTGAATTAATTATCTTATTGTAAAAAATTCAGATAACTAGGTAGAATTTATTTGTATCGATTATCAGTTAAAGTCCATTTAACTCACTGTATAGAATGTTATAGTTAATACATTCATAGTTTTCAAGCCGTGACTTTCAGGAGAACTCAAAACTATGTCGCATCAGTGTTTCATATGAATGATTCGTTTAAACTTCGATTTCATTCATCATACAAAGACGGTCAATCTCATAGAGTAACCCTGGGCAGTAACTATAGTGGCCGGCAATCAAACCTTGCCAACGAAACGTTTTAGCAATATTTCCTTCGACGAACAAGTATATCAAAGCAACATAGCCTATTTGTCTCTGTTTCACAAAACCAATGGACTGATTTTATGAAATAATAACTTTTCTGACACAATATTCTCTTTTTCTCGTTTTTCTTATAACTTGTATAATCCACATGTTTTCAATCAAGACTTTAATTAGGCTTTAGACATCTAATATTAACCGCTATTTCGCAGTCTCATAAGAGACTAAAAATAGAAAAAGCATTAAGCTGTCAAGAGTACTCACCCATCCCAAACATGAATAAAGCTTTATTAATTCATGATCACTGAATGGCGAAACTGTAGACGATTATTATAATGAATGACTGGAACTGAGAAACAACAATTGTTTAGTACTAACTTAAATATACAGAAGTTCTGCTGTTTCATTGATTAGTAAGTCCAAGATTTTACGGAAAATAGTGATGATTCTAGATTACTAGATGACATTTACGAACCATTTCTTAAGCCAATGTCTTAACACTGTGACAGTGATTGAATTTTCATCACTAAAATAGGAGTAAAACACTTAGATAGTTCTTCAAAAGAAATTCTAGTGGTAGAACGACATACGACTGGAGTGGATTATTGTTCATGTGAAGGTCGATATATGTTAAAATACTGAAGCCAGACGTCTTTATGAGTAACTCTTCCTGTTACAAATTAGTTCATTGGTGAGAAAACTAGGTAAAACCACTTGATTAAGGACCAATCGCGTACAGTTTGGAGGACAATCTCAGGTTTCCGGAAGTAACAAATTAAGTTAATATGTAAGACGTTTCACACTTCCGACCTATCGTTACAACTTATAATGTTACCTCATTTAGCATTGTTCGCTTGAATCTTGCCATTGATGTTTTGTACTGCAATTGATCAGTCTCTTGTTGACGTATGTGCATCTTGTACGGATTGTCTCGATATCGCCTTAACTCACAAGCATTATGAGCAAAGATGTGTGGTGGTGGCAGTGGAATCCAGGACGTGTGTTGGCACCGTCAGCTGGATGTAACTGTGTTATGCCCCGATAAGAATAGTCAGTGGTAATTTTTGGGATCCATTTGTGGACCAATACTATACCTATATTTTACCATATAATTGTTAATCAAATAAACAATTCTATCGATTAAATGTTAAATATTTCTATGACAGTCGATTGACTAAATCATCAATTAAATGTTCAAAAATACTTCCATGGTAATATCGATTATATACATATAATTGATATATATACGTTTGTATTGTGTTTGTGGATCGCTATCTGATCGTTCGTTTCTGGCTGTTTTCAGAATATACTTTCCCATTCCAAGCTTGGACTTCTCCCTCTAGTTAGCGGGGCAGGGATGCATCAAATAGCTAGTTTATTCGTCTTTGGTCACTGAGTCTTTGTTCTCGTTCGCAGATTAAGTGAACTCGTGACAGCACCAACCCTAGCAAACTGCATCCCAGATTAGATGCAGATACATTCAGCTGACGTGTGCCAAACAGAACTAAAAGCGCGTCCTGGATTCTAATGCTAGCCAACATCCATCTTTGCTTATTAACACTACTAATGGAAATATTCAACATAATTATATTCTAGACAAAATTCACAGAGTTGTTAAGGCTAGGACTTAAAAACATGCATTTTTAGTTCAGCAATAAGACAAACTGTCTAGAACCTGTGTATTTATGAGTAAATAGTTGAGACGAGTCATTGCTCAAACTTCGTTATTAAACTGGGGAGAACAAAATTAACATTTCCATCACGAGACGGAATTGTACGCATGATGATGATGATGATGATGATGATGATGATGATGATGATGATGATGATGATGATGATGATGATGATGATGATGATGATGATGATGATGATGATGATGATGATGATGATGATGATGATGATGATGATGATGATGATGATGATGATGATGATGATGATGATGATGATGATGATGATGATGATGATGATGATGATGATGATGATGATGATGATGATGATGATGATGATGATGATGATGATGATGATGATGATGATGATGATGATGATGATGATGATGATGATGATGATGATGATGATGATGATGATGATGATGATGATGATGATGATGATGATGATGATGATGATGATGATGATGATGATGATGATGATGATGATGATGATGATGATGATGATGATGATGATGATGATGATGATGATGATGATGATGATGATGATGATGATGATGATGATGATGATGATGATGATGATGATGATGATGATGATGATGATGATGATGATGATGATGATGATGATGATGATGATGATGATGATGATGATGATGATGATGATGATGATGATGATGATGATGATGATGATGATGATGATGATGATGATGATGATGATGATGATGATGATGATGATGATGATGATGATGATGATGATGATGATGATGATGATGATGATGATGATGATGATGATGATGATGATGATGATGATGATGATGATGATGATGATGATGATGATGATGATGATGATGATGATGATGATGATGATGATGATGATGATGATGATGATGATGATGATGATGATGATGATGATGATGATGATGATGATGATGATGATGATGATGATGATGATGATGATGATGATGATGATGATGATGATGATGATGATGATGATGATGATGATGATGATGATGATGATGATGATGATGATGATGATGATGATGATGATGATGATGATGATGATGATGATGATGATGATGATGATGATGATGATGATGATGATGATGATGATGATGATGATGATGATGATGATGATGATGATGATGATGATGATGATGATGATGATGATGATGATGATGATGATGATGATGATGATGATGATGATGATGATGATGATGATGATGATGATGATGATGATGATGATGATGATGATGATGATGATGATGATGATGATGATGATGATGATGATGATGATGATGATGATGATGATGATGATGATGATGATGATGATGATGATGATGATGATGATGATGATGATGATGATGATGATGATGATGATGATGATGATGATGATGATGATGATGATGATGATGATGATGATGATGATGATGATGATGATGATGATGATGATGATAATTTCATGTTTCATTACCAGTTAAAATCATTGAAATGTTCTATTGAAATGTTAAAGTTGCGCTCAATTTAATATGGAAGCGACAACTGAGAATGTAAAAATGATTTAGCGAAATATTAGCGTATTCTGCTCAAATTATTGATAAACCTGTTAAACCTGTCTCAATGTTGTCATGGAAAAAAATGATTGTCCTCTGACGGATGGTTTATATTTTATTCTCATATATGTTATTACCTTGAACTAATTAGACTTATTAACTTGCATTTAGCTGAGGTGAAAAACGAAATACAATTCATATTATATTCTGCCAGTTATAAATTGAACCGAACGAACAGCAGAAAAACTTAATAACCGAATTTTCGGCCATTTGAGAAGATCCTCTAGTGTGAATAACGATTTTACGCCAGAATTCGGTACTGATTGTTTTTGACGAACTATCAGCATCTACTTACAACCACAGATAAGTGGTATCCTCAAACCTGTCTTTTCTGAAAAGACCTCAATAAAACTACAATATACATTTATAATATGGATAAAAGTTTTATCGAAACTACGTAACCTAAATATCAGGGTCTTGCTTGAAAATAACACTTACCCATTAGTATTGTATACGGATTCCATTAAATAATGTGAATAAGTCAAGTAACAAAATTATCTTAATGTAATTTGAAGCAAGTTGAATGAAAATGTGTACTCTGACTTACTGCTGGAGTGGTGGTAGTAAATATGAAATTACCAAATATAGAGATTGAATTGACTGTCATATTGTAAGTGAAATTGACCAGTGGTCTGACAGAATTTGCAGTGAACATTGGGATATGGTAAGTCAACTGATTTGCTGCCGAAGTCGTTTGATCGGTTGCAATTCCTATAAACGTAAGATATAAATTGACAGTCTAATTTCCTAATGAGGCGAATTTGAATGCTTGAATTTTGACAACTATCAATTTATTATATCTACGTGCATCTACACAAGAAAACGTAGTTCTTATGAGATCGACGAACGAAAATTTCATACGAAATGGATATTAATACACTCGACCTACTGCAAACATAACTTTCTTGAAGATTGTTCAATCAGCTGAAGGAATATTTGTTTGAAAGTGTTCAGATTGTTTGATTGTAAAATCAAATATTGATATTTTAGATGATCAATTAGTAATGTATAGGTATATTAAATACTGTACTAGGTTGTAACATATCCACTAGGTTTCAAGAACGTTCGATAAACGAGGGAATTTCTCGTCAACTAATCTACTTTCAACTATGCACCAGCACGTATGCATGCAAAATTATCAATCTAAAAACAATTAGTACCTGAAGTTGGGTTTTACATTTAGGTTTTAAAGTTGGTATACAGTAAAGATATGCAGAATTTATCAAAACGTATATGGAAGTAAAGTATCATGATTGCCAGAACAGACTATAATAATAAGTAAAATAACATGAGGAAATAAAAAGGTTTGTGCAAGCGCTATGTAATAAAATAACACTGAGTTGAAAATAACGAAGATGGTTATCATCTACGAAGTTAGCCGGACGATCTCAAACAAGTACTTAATTACTTACTTACCAACTCCTGTTACTTCTAGTGTTGGAGCATAGCCCACCCACAAGTATCTTACGTAGACAATTGTTTATAAATTCTTCTAGTAGTTTTCCGAGTTTCAGCTTCGTACAACTGAACATACTGTCTTGACCTTCACATCGAAGATTGTGTCTTTGATATTGGTTGAGAGTTGTTTTAAGTTCTACATGTTCTTCGATTGTAGGAATGTTATCCTTACTTTGCCAATCCTCGCCTTTACGTCTGCATCCGATCCTCCATGTTCATCGATGATGCTTCCCAGGTACGTGAGAGAGTAAGCAGCCTTGTCTTACTCCGTTCCTCAATTGTGATGCATCTGCCAGCTGTCCTCCATGCACCACTTTGCACTGTAGTCCATCGAACGAATTCCGTATGGTATTGACGACCTTGTCAAGTACACCATAGTATCGGAGAAGTTTACATAAAGTCCTCCTATCCACAATGTCGAACACTTTCTCATAGTCAAGGAAGTAGATATGCAATTACGAGTTCTATTCAATTGATTGCTCAACGATGATCCATAGTGTTGCGATTTTGTTTGTGCACGACCTATTCTTGAGAATCCAGTCTGTGGATCTCGAAGTTGAGCGTCCACTGAACTCCTCATTCGGTCCAGCAACACTGTTGTAAACGCTTCCTGGTACCGATAAAAGTGCGACGCCTCTATAATTTTCGCATTTTCTCAGGTCTCCATTCTTTGTGTGTTGATGAGGTGTCATTCTTTCCAGTATGTCAATGGCACTTGTTCCTCCTCCAAAATCTTTCTGAAGAGAATGTGGCTCATGTTTGCAGTAACTTCTATGTCTATAGGAAGTTTTGTGTGTGCTGCTTCAATGTCCATGGGATTAAGTGGGGCTGGCTTACACGAAAGTTTCTCAAAGTGTTCTACCCATCTGTTCCTCCGTTCTCAAGTCTCGGTGATTTTCTTGTTACTCTTAAAACTGTTCTTTGCCGTGCTCGTTGCTATCATTGGTGGGTGCATAACATTGGATAATATTCATTGTGATTTCCTCCTTCTTGTTTCAAAGGATGCTTTGATGATTCTGGATCCATGAAATTACCATCCTATAAGTTCATTTCATGCTTCACTGGACAGCATCAATGCAACTCCCTGAGTGTGAAGAGAATTTTCCTCTTCATGATCAGAGTATAGCAGCATCTCATTGGTATCTATCTTTTTCTGTGCGGATTGAATGCAGTGGGCTTCACTGATTTCGAGCACCGTCAAGTTGTATTTTTCATTTCCACAGCTATTTGAATAGTCTTCTCGGTCTCCCACATTGTTCGGACGTTCCATGTACATATAAAAATTGTTGCTATGGTTGTTAGAATGAGTATCAGTCTCATGACTCCCGAAGAATATCGGCCTTCACCACTAGGCTTCATAGTTCGTCTGAATGAAGATACTTCAACTCGGAGAGCAGAGTTATATTGCTTTAATTTGTCTATTCTGATTAGCGTTTGTTTTCTACGGTATTAAGTTGCTGACAATGATTAGTCAATACAGTTATTTCACAAGTTGAAATCATGAGCCAATTGAAGCTAGACCACCATGGAAAACATGGAAGCACTGGACGGCCGTTTCGTCCTAGTATGGGACTCCTTAGCAGTGCGCATCCACGAACCCACCCCCGCGGGATTCGAACACAGGACCTACTGGCTTCGCGCGCGGTCTAGCTTCAATCGGCTCATGATTTCAACTTGTGAAATTTCTAAAAATCTCCACAAAACCTATTCTGATAATAATACAGTCACTGTTACAAATAAAACAGAAGTGGTATGAAGTTTCTCAAGAACCTTAAATTTAAGTACTGACTAGAACTGAGTCTATTATATCAGTCTTATGACTCATCATCATTATTTCAAATAGACTATTGCTATATTAAACCAGACAATAAATCTTTTAAGATTACTTAAAGTAGGCTAGTATAATTAATTTTCAGTTGTAATAATTCAAACTAATCTCGATATAGGAATGTCAGTGGGAATATCAATTAATTCTTTCTGGATAAATTTCAAACTAGCAGAGCATTGTAAATTGCAGGCTTAATACTACCGTGTTAAAAAATTCACAGTTTGATTAAGAGACTGTGACAAAATTGTTTTCTGAGTTCCACAGATATTGATGGATTTTGGGACTTAGATGAATTTTGTTCTCTCTGGAACAATAAATTTAAGGAATGGTAGACTCGATCGCAGACACTAATTACAATTAAGAATACGGTCAAATGATCAATAATGGAGATGTTTTTTCACGGAAATATCTATATAAGTGTTTCAACGAAAAGTGCAACCACGTAGATAAGTGTACATATGTAGTTAGAACGGAAAATGTGTACATTACTGAATTAGTAATAAAACACTATTAACTGACGAGAAATTACCTTCAAGACTGCTGTGACATTATTCGGTGGCCTAATTAAATACAGAGAGATAGTGTATTATTAACCATATTAATACTGAACACTATAAGTAAAACAGTGCAGTAAATGTTAACAAACCTTCGTAATAAGCTTTATCTATACTGATATAAACCATATTTTCCAAAGAGTTCGAAACTGAGCTGACATATGGCAATGATGTTGATTGGCTTAGCATTATTGGCTTGACTAATATGTATTCTTGGTAGGCACCTGGAGCATAAAGTTGAAAATATATCGACTGCCATACATTGGGTTTCAGAGTTAGCGTTAACTTCAGTGATGTTAAATAGTTCGGTATAACTTGATTTTTGACTGTTTTTGAATCAATAGAAATTAGATCAACTCCTGGAACCTGACTTGATGACTTAAAAAATAAACAAATGCACATTGCTTTAATACACTGTAAAATATGTGTTATGAACTAAACACTTACAACTTACCCCTATAATCACGAATTAATAAACTCGACAAAAAAATTACAATGCTCTTCAGCGATTTTATTCAAGTTGAATTTTAGAATTTCCTGCTGCATCCATTCACCTGTCATGTAAGTCAATCAGAGAGTCAGGTTTGGTGTTCAAATCGAAAGTAAATCTCATTGGATTAATCTACGAGGTGATTTAATGAAGAATATTATAAATTAATGAATTTTCACTAATATTTAGAAACATAGTGTGTATCATAGATGCTAGCTATCTAGTATTCAATATTACTCTGCTTTTGCTGGCTACTAAATCATCATACATGAAAGTCGTCTTCAAATTTTACAACACAACGAAGTGAACAACCTGTTGTACATCACTTCAACCTGTGTATGTATGTCACGTTGCAAAAATCATACTTGTTCTAACCAGTTACCAATATTTTTCTGAATCTAAATCACAGCCAGTATTTTATGGTAGGGTTAACAAACTGAAGTAGAGTATAAAGTAAAATTCAATGTAAAAAATATTGTTTGAAGTCATACCAACACAGTAGAGTAGTTATCTAGTGGAGTAATAGTTAATGTTTTCGTAAAGTTGGATACACCAGAGGTAAATGTTGATGTGATCACTAAAGGCTTCGTGGTAATTGGAATTATCGAATAACGCATTGCAATATCACACTGAGCATCTGTACATGATTCATTGAAGTACACCGAATTTATTTGCAATCTAGCCAAATTACTTTGGTAATCGAGAAAAGAAAAGTGAAAGAAAAGGAAGAAAGACTTGTTGATATTTATTAGAATTACAGATATACTGTAGTGCATCTTCTGATTTAAAATTCATAGAAGGGATCATTACCGATGAAGCCCAACTTCAAACTAAGATATGAATGAATTAATGATTTCAAATTATCATAGTTAATTACTATAAAGCAAAATTAATGAGAGGCGTTCGGTGGTATCAATAAAGCTTCCAATGGTGTGAATTTTTTTCCTGTTACTGCATTGAAAAGTAGTCCAGTATGAAATCATTTTTATAATGGTTGTTAGCGACGAGTTGTTGTTGCATTGGAATATTTCCAGCTTTCGATAAGCACAGTAAGTGTATAATTTCACCACATTCATGAGTGTTCTGCTGAGTGTGAACAACAAATATATCAGTGGTTATTGAAGCTGGTTAGGTTCAATTTTCATTTTATTCATGGTTTATCGAAATGATAATAATAATAGGATTATAAGCAAAGATGAATAGTGGCTAGCAGTGGAATCCATGACGTGCGTTTCGTCCAATCTCGGACTCGTCAGCTGAATTTACCTTCATCTTAGATGTGATGTTCACTTTGAGACTCGAACCGATTGTCATTCGTTTCAAACGCCATCACGCTATCCACTTAGCTACTGAGTCCTCAATAGAGTGAAACGCGTGTCCCGGATACCACTGCTGGCCACTATCCATCTATGCTTAGCATGCTTATGAATTATGGCAATAGCAAGACAATACGCACAGTGTGCACACATGTCATTAAGAGACTGACCAACTGCAATCCCACACATCAATGGGAAGATTCAAGGAAACAATACCAAGTGAATAATAGGAAGTTTCAATAAAAATCATATAGTATGTGCCAAGTTCATTTTGTCTTTACTCAATTAACTTTTGAGAAACATTTGGTATACAATCGGCTACGCATATTGTTAAGGATTGTGATAAGGCACATTATGTAATAATAAAAATAATAATGTTGATACATCAAACGGGTCTCATCAACAGTGATTCAGTTATGTTCAGTCTTTTCAACGTATATAAAGGATAACGGTCAGCATCATGGGTACTACAACATTTATATATATAAATGAAAATTGAATATTAACTCGTTATAGATTACCTACATTTAGGTCCCTACTACAGTGACTGGTAATTGAATTTATGTGGCAATGTAGAACCCTACACGTGTTGAATTTTAACGAAAGTTTGGATTAACAAAAGGATATGAATGTACAATTTCTATATACTGAGAATTAAAATATCTTCTCAAATATCTAAATCTTGTCTATCGGAAAAAATGTAGAAATCAAGTTTCAACTTCACTATAATCTAACACTCAGTGGATATTTCTGAAATGATAACTCATTAAAATATAATGCATTTCTTTGCACAGAAATCTACTGATATGTGAAATGTAATTTGGAAAACTGATAAAACAAACTGACATAGAGTTCTGAATAATACATTCAGATTTATTGACGAATTATGCAGGATAGTCTTTGAGAATAATCTCCAAAAGTTGAAAGTTTGATAGATATTGTTTTTTAACAAGGGATTGTTGTTTGAAAATAGTAAATTACAAGTATTCGTAGTTCGTTTAACCCATGCTTGATGTGGCAGAATTGATTCATATCCGTATACTTGATTTTTTGTAACATTATACATGAGTATATATATATGTAATGAATTAAGTATTCGTATTTACATATACACAAGAATACGGTTGATAATCAAGCTTACGGTTTAACAGAAAAATCATAGCCCACAAGTGCTACAGCTTTTAATAGATATCCAATTGTTTGAATACTCTGTCTGATTATAATTGCTTCATTTGAATTTACTTGTAGTTGAAAAGTTATCGGCATGTAGACAAAGTCTTCAACGAATTTCACTCGAACTTCTACAATTGTACTAAAGTTCACTGTTGGTTGTGAATTTCGTGGTTCGACTTTTTCAATAGTAACTACAGGAGTTTTAGAGACCTAATTTCAAATAGTGTTTGCAAATGATAACAAATAACAGGTTATTGAATGCAAAATCGAGAGATTGATTACAATTTAGGTTTACATTTACATGTAGTTTACATTTGGGTTATAAGCATTCATCTGAAATGATTTGCATGGAATAATAAGTGTTAGGCAAACAGCATGACTGATTAATTTAGGTCTGATTTAAACGAGAAGTATTTGGGTAAGTAGGACATCCAGATTTGGTTGAAAATTACCAGGAGCTAACGTGGTGTAGTACTATATTTCATGCTGCATTTATAAAGCTGTGCAATTTAAACTGCTCCATGCTAAAACATTGATATTTTTGTATTTCAGTTGCTAACGTCTGTAACCACTAATTGCTTCGGTATAAATCAACAATCACTAAGTCAAATATCGTAAAATAAACGGCCGTACCTTTTAATGCTAAACGAGAGATCTTGACTAAATCTGTACCCCTTTTAATTGTGTCCAAAATTTATTTCAGTGAAGCACATTAGTTCACCCTCAGTCAATTCAGTGACAGATGGATGGTGACTCAAAATTAGACTATGATACAAAAACTCAACGTGTATAGGAAAATGGTGGTTGATGTGATCTGGGATTCGATACCAAAATCAGTATACCTACAGAACAAAAGTGTTTCGACTTAATTTGTAGGAGTTCGGATTATCCGGCTGTAGATTTTCTGATTGAATTCTGACTAGTCATATTTGATGCATGTGCAGCCAATGCAGATCACTTTCATATTGTTGAGACAGCTTCTGAAAACTACAACTGAGCCTTCAGAGACGACAGAGAAGCCAAAGAGTTCCATCTAATCAGAAAGTAATGGGGATTTCTAGAATATCAAATTGGGATGGTACTATTGACCGGTGGCATAACATGTTTATTCGCGGACTGGTTGAATTATAATGTTAGTATAACAAGCGCTAAATACCCATGATTTTCTGTACATTTTGATTCTTACCCATCAAGCACTTTATCAAGTGTTCTTCTACTTTCTTTTTATTTGCGACTTGGAGTGATCTAGCGTTCGATTGCTCAGGTTATACGTGGTATATTAAGAACCTAAACTAGATATAACAACTGGTGACGGGGTTAACTTATCAAAATGTCATTTATCTTTGACCAAGTCGAAGCCTTGCTTGAGCGTCAAGAAAAACGTTACGAACAGTCCCAGATTCGTATTCTGGAAGCTCTAACCCAGCAAATGAGCCTACATCAAAGGGGGCTTACAGATGATCCACTCAAATCCAATGTTGACCACATTATTAATTCTATCCATGAATTTCATTTTGATGGTTTGGCTGGTGTTATATTTGAATCGTGATTCAAGAAATACAAAGATGTGTTCAGGGTCGACCTAGGAAAATCTGACGATGTCGCAAAGAACAGAGTACTGCTACGCAAACTTGGTACGGCTGGACATGAACGCTACACCAACTTCATTTTCCCTAAGAACCCCAGAGACTTTTCATTTGATGCAACGGTCGTAAATTTGTCGCAAATTTTCGGTGAACAGTCATCTTTGTTCAATATTCATTACCAATTTCTGAAGTTGAATAAAGCTGGAGACGATGACCGGGTGCAACATGCTGGCATAGTAAGCGTTTCAAATTATTAGCAATGACAGAAGTCTAGTTTAAGTATCCTGTTTTTGTATACAGCTTACAGTCGCTTGAAGATGTCAACGTCAGAACCGGAATTCTGAGTAAAATTGAACAGTATCCAAATATGGCGTTATAAGAAGTGAATAGTGAATGTCAGACGTTGATGAACCTAAAACATGACATATCTATGGTTGAAAACAGTGGTCGACCAGCATACGTACAGGTAATAAGTCGTCGGAAATATTTTTTTGTACGCACACATGACAGTTCTAACAAACAACCTCCACCGTAGTGCTGGTTATGCGGTGAGTGGCACTACAAGAAGATTTTCCCATATAAAAACTATCGTTATACTGAATGTCATCGTAAGTGTCATAGAGAATCCAGATGCACAAAAAGAACCCACAGTCGTTCTTCGAAAACCTATTTCAAAAAAATACAGATCTGGTGCGATAACTCACAAAATATTGATATCTCAGACCAGAGCACGAAGTTACCGCCGAATAAAGTATGTAACTTTGGATATTATTGAACAACATACTCGCCTTCGACTCGATACAGCATCTGATGTCACTCTCATCAGCTTAGAAACTTGGAGAAATGTTGGGAGTCCCACAGTTCATCCAATAACACAACTAACACACAGTGCATCTGTTGCGAAGCTGACTATTTTTGGAGAAGTACCCTGCAATTTTTCTAAATGTAATGTGACAACGAATGTAACAGTGTACCTTACAAAGAATCCAGCACTTGACTTGTTTGGATTAGATCTGATAGACACTAAAACTAGCGGAGAATTTGATTAACAACATCTGCAGCCGGATCAGAACTGATAACCCCTTAGAGTGGAAGCAGAAAAATGCTGTGCTACAAGGACACCACCACGTGTTTATAGAAGGATTAGGAGAATGTACGAAAGTCAAAGCAATACTAACCCTCAAAAATGTTGTTTAGATGAATTATTAAATGAAAACATAAATCAAGCTTACAGGAGTAGTGGGTATGGGTTGCTCCATAGACGTTACTGGAAGCGTTACAACAAAAGAAGATACAGTTAGTGATCCAGAAAACATCCGAACGTACGTTTGTGTTGTGTCACCCAAGACGTAGGTGGTATCGTACCATAATTTCACTGCGAATTGGAAATTATAAAAAACATTCCATGGGTTATTGTTTCTAAATATACCAATTGTCGTTGTGCCTGTTGTTCTTCGCCCTTGAAGTACAGTGTATTCTGTTATTAGCCTGATCTGTAATGTTAGTTAAACAATCAAATTGAAATACGATATCAAAACATTTATTAATGTCGGATTACTCGATAGTGATGTGATAGTTCTTTGTTTATGAATATCAGTGGAATCAATAGGATACCGTTTAACATCACTGAGTAAGAAAAATCTATACTTTATGCCTAACTTCGAGAGAAATATTGAAGCCTTAGCTATTCGTAAATTTAAACCCCCCTTATGTGTACAAAAACAACTTGTCGTAACCTTGAATTTACCTTGGTAATCCTAAAGTCATTCTATGGCCCAGGATAACGCGACAATTTCTTATTCTTTCTCTCCCCTTAGTTATTTTAATTGTACCTTTATTTGTTTGACCTTTATTAATTTTCATATAAAAATGCCTTGACAAGTATATGTGTGACCAGACTGTTCGAAATGGAATAATATTGTCCGACCGGCCATTTTTTTTTAAAAAAACCCCACCCCATAAAAAAAAATTTTCCACCCCAAAATTACAATATTTTTCATCCCGTGTTTCGTCCAATGAAATGGCTAGTTTCAAAAATTAGATTTAATTGGTTAGTTATGTCTTGAAAATTGTTATAAATTATCAGTACTTGTCGACGAAGCACAATCTCAATCGCCATTATGTATAGCACAAATACATCACATTTTTCAGATCAACTCCGTCTTCTCATAGTTCTATCGAAATTTATAAAAGGGACTAATTGCTTTAAAGAAATATTATTGCTCAACTTCTAGCAATCAAACTAGCAAGAAGTAATACACACAAAACACTCTACACATATACGACATGTATTGTAATGACAAGATATTATGCGCTGTTCAGTCATGTGACATATAAGTTTTCGGGTCAAATCAATTATATGTACATAACTCAATGTAACTGATCCAGTGAAGATGGATACATGATTAAGTAAAGGATGGAATAAATCTATTGAAAACCCATTACTGTTTCGTATGATGAATACAGCACTCAATCAACAGCGTTCAACATCAGATAAATAGAGCCAATGACTATTGCAAGGATTTTGCTTTTGCATTCATTAAACATACCAGAGACAAAAACCAACAACACTTTTTTCGTTTATTAAACTCCTCTTTAAAGTTTCCACCTCCCAGATTAAAGCAATGTTCATTCGTTGTTTTTATTAAACATTAAATGTTAGAGTATGTGCATCTAGGAATCATTGATCAAAGGAATGTCTAAATAATTTTAACTACTTAGAATTTCCATAGATCAGTGAATACTGAATTAATAAACGGGTTGAAATGCATGTCAAACACAAGTCAAAATATTAAAAGTAGAAAGCTTTACTGTTAAGGGCTATACAAATGTATAAAAATGGCATAACCGTAGTTTATGTTACATGCAACATGTAACAACTACGTATGGAAATACAATTAGACACGTATTATCAGTGGAAACTCGTCCATAATTATAGAAAGCATAGTAAAATATGAAACTATGAATTTGTGACCTGTATATTGTAGTCATCTCCCTATTCTTCTTTAACCCATTGATCATTACGCAAACTCGTTTTGATATTTGAAATCTCGGATCATTACATGAAACAATGAATTTTATTGGTAGTGAAGTATTCCTATTTATCAAACAGACACAGAGCTGAATGTTTCACTCCGAATTCATTGAAACTTTAATTCCAATCTTAGTAAGAAGGTGTTCGAGTAAATTATACATGAAGCTCAACATCTGATTGAACTTCTAATAACAGTGCACAGAATGAAATTATCGACTAGCCGTTTTCTCATTGTAATGAAGGATCTATGATGTCTGTATGCAATTAGTAGATGTGTTAATCAGTCAATAATTAGATATTCTCCAAACATGTTTCTAGGTAATAGTGATATTACAATGACGAGATGAGCTTGTTCATTCAAATGATTTTAATTTTTGACAAATTCTTAGAAACAGACTAAATTGTTTAATGACATTCATTTATGCAATTCATTCATAAAACTATTAATTAGTTAAGGACAAGCAGAAATAATGAGGAATATTTGTCTAGAATGAACATTGAGAAGTGATGCCTGATAGGCGGAAACTATTAACTAACAAACTAAATTGTCAAGATAATTATAACTGTTATTCTGAATTAGGTTAATTATAATATGCGAGTCGACATTCAACTTTATCTGACTGTTGTAGTCAAATAATGGCAAGTCAGATAGAATTGTTATCAGGGAAAATATAAATAAAATCAAAATGTCTAATTCAATATTTATGAGGAAGTCTGTTGTTACTCCACTGAATGTACTAATAAATGAGAATTTGATGACATGTGTTTTTCCATTGCAATAATAATTTTAATAATCATTATTATTACGTAGTACAGACAGACACATTTTATTCTACACTATACTTTCCTATCAATTTCGGAAGCCTTTACGCAAACCAAACACTCCGATGAGTTACTGATCAGTTCATCAATGGAGAAACGGGGATCTATTCTCAAATATGTTGTATACACACATACTCATTAAATTCAGATATCAGAAACATTCGAGTGATAAACACCCAAGCATAGATGGGCACGTGTGGTATCATGTATTACATGCAATCATAGAATGTGCAGATATGTTAAATCATCTCAAAATTACACACATAGGTAAAACTTTCCGTTCGCAATTTCACGTTACATGCACATATAGAACGCATACGTCGCGCCACATACACTCCACTACAAAAAATATCGTTTGACATCAATGAATTCGTGATAAATATTAGACCTACATCCTAAGTATTTTAACATCTTAAAAGTTATGTGCATACTAAATGCTTTATAATGTAGCTCATTATCTGAATAATAACTTCAAAATATGCATTCAGATACCATTTTTTAGCATATTGTAATATTATCGTTATTATGTAACACACTAATTGATTTCGGGTTCTTACTATCGAGCTGTATATTGTAAGTACTCAGTGCAACGAAAATGTCAAACAATGAATTGAAGATCGAGTGGATTATGTTTTTATTCAGTATGAAAATATAATATTATTTACTATTGTCATATGTTAAGAGACTATAATTGTGGATATGTATTAATGCAGTCAATTGTGACCTTGTACCATTGGTTATGGTTCATAATTGCTGAATACAAAACTGTCTCTTGCATAATATTTTTTTGTTTTGATCTTGGCCATATTTGTATAAATTAAAGGACAGTATTGTAAAGTTAAGTATTGATTATCTGTACACCAGCTGTGATAAAGTGTTTCGGAAAATGGCTGGATTTTACTGTTCACGTAATGGATCGGTTTTACTTGAACAGCCACTCAGTAATAGAAAGCATTAGGAAGATGCTTTGCAGTGGAATGGGACTTCTCAGCATATTATATCCATGGCTTGAATGTGGACCAACCCAGGGCATTGAGTTATCATAGCGAACGCTTAGCCTTTAGGTCACTGAGTTGTCGTCCGACGGTTTACGTGTCTAACATAATTTAAGTCGTGACAGTCCACAGATGCCATCCGATGCCGATGTTGGGTACCTGGCTTACAATCGACATTGTTAAAGAATATTTAGTGATAATTATGTCCCTAATTAACCAATTGTTAAGTTTGTCTTACATTGCTCCTACTCAATCCCTTTCCACTCCTTTGTATATTGTTTTATACTACTTATTTACATTCAGTAAGCAGTTTTTTCCCAACAATTTTTACACCTATGTTGTAACGCAAGTTGTAGTGTGATATTCTGAAATGTTCACATATACTTATAATGCTTATTGTACTTAGCATTGTATTTATCATTATAATCACCGTACCTTAATCGCTGTAGCGGTTATCCACAGTTTTGTGCATTTGTTTAAACGCAACAGTTTCCATATTGCTTTGCTCTTGGTTCGGGTTTCGATTGTTCATAAACTGTTATCAAATTTAGACACAGCTATTAGCTGTCCTTTGTACTATCGTATGTTGTAATTATTCTTTATGTTACTGTTACAGGAAGCCTTTTTATATCACACTTGAAGGACGCGTTTGAACGCCCCAGACACCCCACAAGTTGAGGTTTGTAACTAAATGTTGTGTATTATTCAATAAAGAATCGCTATTGTAGACAAATTGTTGTTTTGGAAACTTCGGTTTTGCGCGTATTTCAATCAGGTGACTTGGACGCTTCGACAGATCTAACACCAATCAAATCGTTGCTTAAACGCCGATCACAACAATCTGATCTGGTCTGACTGCACTAATCGAATTGGTTTTACGTTTAAAAACAGATCAAGTTTAAAGCCAAGTTGTCCTTGTTCTGACCATAGATTTCATATTGACTGGTGTTTTCAGTATCGCGTTTACACTTCTAGCAAAATATCTGGCTTCCTATAATGTCCCTTGATGATGAGGAATAAACACTATGATAATCCATCAGTTTGGGGTTGGTATTTCTTCTCTCAATCCTTCCTACCTAGTTATGTTTCCTGTGAATTCTTCTAAACTGGTTTTATTATCAAGGTTTGACTTGATAGTTGAAAATAACCTGTGCATCAGCTGGGATGTTAGTAATAAAGTGATAGTATATTGATCATATCCCAATCAGTAGAAAATCGAATTTCTCGCGTTTTGTGACTTTGTGTAAACTATTCTTCAGAGTAGACAAATAAAAAAGAATAAACGAATCAAATTTACACAGTTTTAGATCGCATAAAAGAACACGTCAAAAGATTTAGTTTATTATTTTATACGATTTTAATCTGTGTTAATTTGATTCGGTTATCTTTTTATTTATCAACTCTGAAGAAGTGGTTTACACAAAGTCCAAAAACGCGAGAAATGTGATTTTCCACTCGTTGGGATATCATCAATATATCGTTGTTTCATAATTTTAAGGTAATTATTTATCCTCAGGTTAGACGTCACTAACTTTAACTGTTTATTTGTTTCTTTCTGTGATGAGATGATAAACTGTATATATCAGTTTATTAGCAACTGTCTTAATTGTTTATCAAATATGTATTAACTTACGTTTCTAGATATTTCCACAATGTGTCAACCTTCCAAATATAACGATTTTTCTAGAATGACTCTGTTTCTTTAAATTAACTCGTAAACCGCCTTTAAGTGATCAATAGATTTTACCACCTTAGTGAAGTTGATGCCATCTGACATACCCTCAACATGTTCATCTTACTTATCTGACTTCGTAAGAAAATAATCATTTTAGTGGTCAGTTTCTAAAGTCATTAAGTTCCTTCAAATATAAGTTATGATTTTACTTTCTCATCTTTTCCCTAAACTTCACTCAGATGGTGCACGTTCTTCTGTATTTTGAACTGGATTATGTATGATGTAATCTATTTCTAGAATCCTGTCTCCGCCTTTTTATAAACATTCCCAGTTAAACTGTTGGCAAAAACTGTATGGATAATATTTTTACTTCTTTCAAAATAACTGTCTTCCCACTAGTGTACATCTACGTCGACCACGGCCATAAGAAATACGTCTCTTATAAAAAATTCGGGTACTTAACTTTTTCATAGAATTAATATAACGAGGGAAATATGTTGTTAACGTACTAGATGAATAAACTTTTCTATCCGTGTGCATACAATTTGTTATCCATTGTAATAACCAGCATACCAGTCTTTATACCTTCATGTGGATTGATGAAATAATAAGGAATAGATTGATTTTATTTGGTTAATCAGATAATTTGTAACTAAAGGATCTTGTGGGTCTCAACTGTTTGACATTTATACTTTTTCGAATCGATCATTGCTTCATAGGGTTAAAATGTTATTAATTACGAAACACAGAAATCCAAAGTTAGTAAAAAACTGAAGAGGTGTTTCAATAATAAACGAGTTTTGATTCTCCCTACCATTTACTTGTTTATTGACTTGAGTTATCTCAGTATAAAGTGATAATTAATATAAATGATTCAAATACAATCATACCGAAGTCAATGATCAAGCATCAGAAATTCTACTGTTATTCGTGCTTTGAAATTAATGAAACCGGTTTGTTAAAGTAAACACGTAAAGTTTGTCCTCCCTTATGAAAATCTTTTAAAAACCACAGAAACTGGAAACAATCATTATGATATTTTAAACTTACTTTCTTTGTTGAATTATTTTCTGTTAACAAGTAATCCACGGAACATTGTTCCGCCTTTAGTTTACCAGTATAAGTTATATAAATACTATAAAGTGCTGTCGTAGAAGGCAGAATACTCAGTTGAAGATTAAAGAATTGTAACTTTTCAGCTTGATTCACGACTGAGGTATCCTTTAATGTCAAGACATTATTCGCAACCTATTCGTTAAAAAGAAGGTTGGCATGGTTTGTACTGACAACTTACCAAATTAGAACCTGCAAATGCTATGAGTTGGCTCTCACAAAAATTCACTGTAGAATTCTTACCTAATGGTGAGATTTTTGCTTCAAACCTAACGGATACCAAACTTGGTTTATATATCTGGATAAAAACTGTTAGACGAACTGATCGATTCATCATTGGCAAAGTAGTGTCATAAACACCTAAAATATATTTTAAATTAAATATGAATATGTACATATGAATATAAAATAAGACTTGCTCGTCCCAATACCTCGGAAAAGAATTATCCAAAGTAATATGAAAACAAGACCATTTTGTGAAAGAATGCCTGTCGACGAGACTTATCAGAGTGAATCTCAAAAGTTCGGTAATGAAATATAATAAATAATAGTAGTTTAGTTTTTTTTTTTATCACAACAGTGAGATCGTTTTGAAAAAATGAACCCGATGAAAGCTACAAGATAGCCAACTAAGCGTAATTATAAGCCTTATAGTTGTTAGAGCTCTAGTGGTGAGTGATGGTAGTAACCTTGGGTAAATTAAAATTTTAATCTTCCAGTCTGACTGATTTTAACCGCATCAAATGTGAATCAATTTCTTTATAAGCGACCCTGAAAATATGAACGAAAGTTCCAGCCAGTTCTAAACTATTCAGAAAGCAGCTTTTAAAATTAGTAGTTTATGAAATCATAACCTTGAACGACGTATACTAGTGCAATTCACGGAAACCTAAACAAAGCATACTATGAATATACTAATTAATTTTTATTCAGGAAATAAGTTGGACAAGAGATATTTGATTCCAGTAAACAGTTTAATGATAAGTGAAATGTACAAAGTTTAAAAAATAACAACGAAATAAATAGTATCTTCGTTGGTCTAAACAAGTTAGTAACTATTTGATAGTGGTTAAATTCGACTATTGATCACAACCCGGTCAAACCGTACTATTTTTTTTCTATTAAATTTCACTATGACAATAGGAGACGGCTGTAAACTAGCGAAACCAGATATCAGGATTCTCGCAGTGAATAAATCTATAGTGATTTCATGATAAGCAGCGAAGAAGTACTATCGTGTGTATTTAAGCAGAATGATGACAACACATTTTAGAAATTCTCCTAATAGAATATTAGAAGTTTTAAAACAAGTCTATTACAAAATAAAATAGTGTTACAAGTAGCAGGATTATTCAGAATTTAAATGCAATCACATAAATAAATATATTTGATAATGAAATGTATAACAAACTGCCAGCACATATCATTTGGTCAGTAGCATTCGCCCTTCATTTGTAAACTGATATATAATATAGGTATGAAGCTTAATTATCAGGTCTCGATTTCATTGAGAGAACTGTGAAATACGTATCATACAGGATCTTATATGTGAAGTGACTTCTACACAGGCTCATTTTTGTGGTCCGTAATTTTATATGTAGACATTTAACTTTTCGTAAAACAAATCCTATTCTGATGAATAAAATAACCCATAGTGTCATTAAATAAGAAAAAGATAATTCAGTGAAGAAAATTTTCCTTTCGACGAAATCATTTACTTAAGCTGCACTTTCGTATATATAGTTATATGGAAAATGTATGTCTATAAGAGGATAGAAAAAATTGCATCACCAAAATGGATTCGAGGATAAATATCAAATGAGGTTACGTTCTAATCAAGGGGTAAGGAAGAAAATGATTTATGGGTCAGATAATAGTCCGATTGACAAATATGAAGAAAAACGACAAGCATAATGATCATAATAATAAAATGAATAATAATCAAGAAAAAAATAATAACTGATTAGAGTTTAAAATGCAAAATACTAAATTTAAAAATTCGACAATAAATCCCGCGTGGTGCGGGATCGTGGATGCGCGCTGCTGAGGAGTCCCATACTAGGACGAAACGGCCGTCCAGTGCTTCCAGGTTTTCAATGGTGGTCTAGCTTCAACTGACTCATGATTTCAATTTGTGAAAATAAATAAAAGTGCAGAAAAAAGCAGAAATATACCCATTAAGGGAATTAGGGCCAAGGAGGGATGAGAGGTTGGACAAATCGTTTTTGCGCGCAAACTTCGTGCTTGTGTTCGTGAATTGCCAATGCCTCAGTAGTGCACAGAATATTGGTCCGACACCAATTCGATCCAATTCCTTTGACTCTGTAGATCACTTTAAAAGAAGAATACTTGGGAGCAGTGTGCCCAAAATTGATTAAATGCTCCTGCATAGAACTAGTGATTGTCTTACGTTCTCCTTTTACGAACCAAGCCTGATAGTGTTCTGAGATGCGTTTGGAAAGTGATCGCTTTGTTCGGTCTATATAACGAGCCCCACATGAGCACGTAAATTTATAAATACACATTTATGTGGCCCAAAGCGAAAGTTTATCTTTAACATAACCAGGAATGGTAGGCCGGCTTGAGAAAACAATTCGGAGCTTGGCTGTGTAGAAAGTTTTATCCAATGATTTTGAAATCCGTTTATTTAAGATTTCAGCAGCCGTGTCTCCTTTAAATTCCATATTCATGAACAGGGTTTTCTTTTGCACTGTCGATACTTTCTCATGATGAATTCTAGGTGTTAAGTTACTATCGACGAATGTAGGTGGATAACCATTTCCGATGAAAGTTTGTCGAAGATGAATTAGTTCCTCATCTATTGTGTCAGTGGAACAGATTCGCTTGATCCTAGAGGATAAAGAGTGAATTAAGTTCCTCTTCCTACTCAACGTAACCAAACTATGGAAATTTTTGTACTGCCCGTTCCAAGTCTTTTATATATAGATCTCAGTAAAAAAAACCATCGGGAATTCTTTTTAATCGGACATCAAGAAAGTGAAATTCATTATTTGCCTCTACTTGTAAGGTAAATTGAATTGAGGGGTGACAATCATTGAAAATTTCCAAAATTTCATTTAGGTCCATGTCTTCATCACAAATAATGAAAGTATCATCCGTATATCTCTTATATAAATGAAATCTCTCAATTATTGAACGAAGTACAGAATTTTCCAGATTGGCCATGAAGCCATCAGCCAAGAAAGAGCCCAATGGAGAACCCAATGCAACTCCATCTGTTTGCCTATAGAAATCGTCGTTAAATCTAAACTGCACGTTGAGCGTACTTCGTAGAAGTAATTCTTTTAGATAATGTTTAGGAAAACATATATCAAGGTTGTTGTTTTCAATATAGTTACATAAAAACATATAGTTTCTGTGAGCGGAACATTTGTAAAAAGCGAAGTGACACCTAATGAGATCATTTTCTTACCAATTACGTCGACATTTTTAATTGATTCCACAAGGTCAAAGGAATCGAGAGAGTTATATTTATTGATATGATTTTTAACAGGTTTGTGGTGTTTGAATGAACTAACGATTCGTTTGTACTTGTTGAATGCTTGATTTCGAATTCTAAATACAGTACATTCGGTTGTGGTTATCTAGTACTTCTTGATCTGATTACGTTATTTCTGGATTCTTAGTTCATACTATAATTCAAATATTTCTAATTATTATAAGGTTGTAAAATGTCAACTAACCATTTAGCAATCAAGTGATATGGAGAGTTGTTCACATCAAGGATAGGATCTTTGTGTTTGTGGCTTTTCTTCATATTTGTCAATTGGACTATTATCTGACCCATAAATCATTTTCTTCCTTACCCCTTGATTAGAACGTAACCTCATTTGATATTTATCCTCGAATCCATTTTGGTGATGCAATTTTTTCTATCCTCTTATAGACATACATTTTCCATATAACTATATATACGAAAGTGCAGCTTAAGTAAATGATTTCGTCGAAAGGAAAATTTTCTTCACTGAATTATCTTTTTCTTATTCAAATCCTATTCTTCTTTCCATTAGTATTGTCTTCACTTGGAGATTCTTGTCAATAATCTGATCTCGCATTCAGCAAACACAGGGACTAAAGTAACAATACGTTTATCCATTGGTTTATTTACAATTATAAACCGTGTATTGTTCACGAGATGATTACCAGTAAAATATATCTTAAAGTCAATGATTTTTCGGAATAAGACTTCTGGAAACAAATATTTTTATCCAACTTGGATAACAATGTATTCAGCCCCTACCATCTCCTTCATTCCTCTTAATCACTCCATCTTTATGCATATTCGATTGTTCACAACAGCTCTTGTCATTTCAGTTCAGTAATAAATATCTTTGGTACGTGGAAACTGTCATACCATTACACTATAAGTGTCATAATTAATAACTTTTCGAAGTAAAAGAGTCGAGCATTTTTCAATTTTTCACTGGGCAAGACAGTAGAATTCATCGAATTCATCACCAACAGTTGAAAATCTTTTATTTACTGATTTATCCATACACAAATGTTGTCACTAACTATATGTGGTTGTTAAGAATTGATTAGTAACATCACTTTGACGAGGCCATCATACTGACCGGTAAAAAAGTTATTCATCGAAGAAATATTAACAGAGAAATAATTATCAAAAGTTCAGGTGAGCCCAAAATGATAATTAATGGAAGATATCTATAATGCATAACACCAAAACGAAAGAAGCAGAATAAGTGCCTAAAATCATATCATCCACCGCCCTAATGACATGCAATATGAAAATTCGGTACTTGTGTAAATAAGTATCAGAAAATGGAAAGGCACTTGTTATTGTTTTGACAAGTGTATACTTAATTCCATAAACATGCGTACAGAAAAATATGTAATATTTGCAAAATACAATATTTATGAGTAACACGTTTCGATCATCGTGGTTAGTTGTGAAACATCAGGAACTTAGTGTTATAAGACACAGCTAGACTGAACAAAACTGTTAATATATGATACAGTTAACAATATACATGGTTTATAATAAAACAGAGTGTTTAACGTTAGAAATCATTGTACGGTGAACTTACCTGGATTTTGTAGATTTGAAACACTAACGTAGCCAATGGTAGTCAGTGCGAAGTTACCACCAACGAATTGTTGCGTATCTATTTTGTAACCTTCTGGGTATGTAGAGAATGTTGTAGGTAGCGTCAAAGATATATGTCCAATCGAAGCACTAAACTCATCAGTAGTGAATGTGAACTATCAAACAATTTATTAGGAAACAACAGTAAGTATTTTTCTGTACGTGTCTTTAAGGAAATAAATATGTTCACTTTTGTATTGGGTAAACATACAAAAGTAAAGTGTTTATATTCAGATATATCTACTGAATGTTCTACAACACTATGATGGATATTTAAATGTACTCTATTAACTTTGTCTGAATAGGTTAGTACAACGTTGTTATTGACAAAGATCATCTCAGTTGTTGTAGACGTTCTCTCGTTATCATATCGAATAATTACCTTGTTCGCATTGCATTGGTTTGTTAAAAATTAGCTACACTTTATTTTTTAAAGTAATTAGTAGTCTGTGAAACACTGATCTGGTATATTTAACAAAATTCGTATTATGAAATGCAATACTATTCACCAGGTCAAATACTTAGGAAAATTACGACCATTAATATTAAAGAGAAATAGTGATAGCGTTTCAGCTAAAACAACACACTATCAATACTAAAAATTGTCCCTATAAAAATAAGAATATAATCACCAGGATAAAAAGTCTGGCAACTTCATTTCGTTGTATTTGGTCGATTATTCAACGTACTTCAAGTTATATAATCTATGATTTTGATTTATGGCTGTACGATGTGAGATGATAAACCTCAATAGAGTTTTATTTCATTCACCTGTCCTTCTTTTAAACAGATCTTGTTTTTTCAAAAGGGTGGTCGATTATTCTTATATTTCTTCTAATGACTTAAAGGTTTACAAATGTATTCCAATATCATATCAGAATTTATCGGAATTTAACGAAAAACACTGAACGACATTCAGTGTATTTATTGAGTGTGGTAAAGATAGACGTTATGATTATAACATACTTAAATGTTGTTGATCTTCACAAATGATCTTGATTTGATTTATATAGTGTTCGATTCACGTAATTTATCTCACTTATTAGCTGGATCATTATATCTTAAGCAGAGTAACTGAATAAAATCAGATTTTCGCAGACATCTGACCATCAGGTTTTACTATTTCGCAACATCGTACTTCTAGCTGATATTCTCTGGAGTAATTGTCATCAAAACCTGACACCTTTTCTATTTAGTTTGTAATTTTGAAGTGTTCATCAGGACCCGGCCGGCATGTTTTAATAGCCTCGTCTAGTTCTACTGAATTTATCATCACCTTTAGATTACAGATTTTTGTACGAAAACTAACTAATATTAATTATTATTCGAAAGAGCGAACTGAAAATGTGTATAATCTGTACTGAAGATTGAATCATAAGTATTATTGATCACCAAATGAAATTTATCGTATTAGCGAAATCTGAGAGGAGGAAACAAACAGTCTTGATTACTGATTTTCGTGAACAGATTTTTTACTGTCAGTTAAAACCTGGATTATTCTGATAACGAATTAGTGGTAAATTTAGGTGGGATACTGACTGTCAGCAATGGCCAATTTTGTAAGAGAGAGGTTTTAATATATAGTTAAGTAGATAAAAGCAAGTCTAGGTGATCATTAAATAAATTTATTTCATCCCTTGTCTCCGAACGATGAACATCCTTTTGATCCTCAAAAGACAGTAATATTCGGAGTTTGATAACACTTTAACCAATAACATCTAATATGAATCGTACTCATCAAATGAAACCAAAAGACCGAAGCGAGATGGTTCGAAGATATAGTTGATGGGCTATCAATATATCGAGGATCGCCTGATCTAATCTGGCTAGCGATTGCAGGGTTTGTTGAGCACGGCGTTCCCACTCGTGATCTGGTGCGGATGCATGACCAAGCGCCTTCAGCTAGGTGAGTCCATTAAAACTATTGTGGTCAGCATGCAATGTCGAAGACTTACAGAGCTATTTATTTTGGGGATTTATTTACCGCTACAATATGCATTCATCTAGCTGTTGACATGTCTTATGACATAAAGCTCCATATATTTTCTATTGGTGATATACAAATTAATTTTTCGTTATGGGGCACGTCATAGCATGCAACAATGAAGTCAGAAGTCATATTATTTAACAATTTTTTCATAAGAATGTAAATTGATCAAGTATAATACTTATCACTCACCACGTAATCGCCAATGGGTCTGCTTATAAAGTAGTCCACAGAATATTCATAAACCCCACCTATTTCTACTTGCGGTGGGCACTTGGTAAAGTTAACTGAATCATATTGAATCGGACAGTTCGAGGAAACTCTCATGGGAATATCTACGATAATCTTTGGAGTCAACAATGCCTCCATTTTGACTGTTAAATTGGTACCTATTGGTGGAATCGACATTTGAGGGAAAAGACCAACTTGGAATCGCATCCTAATACTGAAGTCATTTGAATCATTGGCAGGAGCGGATGAAACACTTATCTGACTTGTCATTGTGAACTCCGAAGACTACGGAAAACAATTAACAAAAATGGATTAAGGCCTAGAATTCTCAGGAAATCCTCCACTTTTATATCTATCATTTGGCACCAAAGGTATGAGTTAATATCAACTTACGAAGATATACTACTGCAATTTCAAACCAATTTAGACCCATTCACAGAACCGATTTCAAGCGATGTTGAGTCATTTGATGTGACATCATTTATCATATATTTCCTCAAGTTTGTAGATTGACTACAATTATTTGGTATATCAACTCACCTATAACCAAAATCTAATTTACGGAATAAAACCAAGCAAATATAGAAAATCAGAATTTCTATCTATTACTGCTACTTAAAATATGAACCTCACAAAGACGTTCCTACATCTTATCTGATCCTTTCTGTTTTAGTTCTTGTATTTTCCACTCCTTCGTCTCTCTAGAACTTTTACTCAGTGATGACTATAGTCTTATATTACAGTGTTTTCTTTCTTCTAATCTTGTAGATTATTCTGTTCCATTTACACTCACTTTTCAAATTCATACTCATAATGGAACTTTGTATTCAGGTTTTCGATAGGTTGTTAAGATATGGAGATTATTGGATGAGACGTAAATCAGGAATGTTTTTTTAAGCGAAACTGAATTAAATTTTTTACAAATTAAATATCCATTGTTATGAATCTTCATCATCTCACTGTGAGTATTTAAAAGTTGCTTTTAACTATTAAAAACCTTTTTTTTTCTTCCGAGTACATAATCAGCATCAGCTGGTATTTTGAATATTTTTATATGAAACAGAACTATGATATTTACTCTCAAGCTTCAGTGAAATGTGGAATAAGTCGTTGTACATATCGGTGTATTTTTCATAGTAACTTTTACCTAGTACAATATTTTTAGTTACAATGTAAGATATATTGAAGGCCAGGAGAAAGAGATTAGACGATATACCAGCTTCATGAGAGACTGTTAACTTAGTGTTATACCTATACAGAAAGTGAATTCATAATGTAATTCGAACTACCTAGGAATTTTTCATTTCTATACGCATTTAATGTCTGTTAGACGAAGTGTATTTTACTATTAGTAAACATAAATCAAACTTATTTGTTTACTATGTTTCCATGAGAAAGGTTTATGTATATAACCATGTGCTTTAGAAACCTACTAGATATGCTTCATTATTTTCTGAAGTGCAGTACCAATGGATATCCACAACCATGAGACTTTCAAAAAGTTTTTAACACATCACGACAATCAACCTATAGTGACAGGAATCAACAGGTGCCATATGTACATTTACCTGGACATTCCTTGTTACACATACATTTACAATCTCTAACAGAAAATGCTGTAAACAGTAAAATTAATCAAACTACATTCATATCCTTACCGAGGAATTATTGTTCAAGTATGTGACATTACTAAACTTCACAAGATAATTATTTGCTATATTTGTACCGTTGTAGTAAGCAAACAAATATTGTACATATCCGTAATAGACATTATTTAGAGACGGACCAGAAAATTTCATGATCAAACTATTATTTCCAGGTGGAAGGACAATTACCAAATCAATAAACCATGTATTGAATAGACAATAATTTGGATTACTTTGGATGTATACTCTGGAAAATGTGACATTGATAGTATTTGGTGGAACTATGACGCCCTATAAAGAAGAAAGAATGACATTACTCATCTGAAAACCTGAAATCATAATGAATTTGGCTAGTACACATCATGGTTCTATATCTTACTGTGCACATTTGCTGAATCGGATCACAACGTCTTGATGAAAACACTATCTTATTTCATTAACATCGGAATCATTAAATCGAATTCATTAATGAATGAAGGTTGCTATCTGAAACGCCACATTGTTTTGTAGGATAAGTGACTGTGAAATACATACGAATTCAAAGACAATTATGCCTACTTACAATTCATACTACTACCATTATTTTAAATAGTTTTCATACTTGGAAGTTAACACTTTTGACAAAAATGATTATGAGAGTTTGACGTTTATCTGATTTGGAGATTGTCTCCAGTGGCAACATACCACTAATCGTGTTGGTATTCCGTTGTTGTTGTTGTTTAAACATCAGGGCTCAGAACTATGAGATAAGATCTGAAGAACAATTGATCATATTGCTATGCTTGTTTCAAAGAAACAGGTTACTACAGAGTCAATTGAAACAAGTCATGAATCTCTTTCAGTGACAGCTTATCAATTGTGAAATCAATGACAAAAACTGCAGTTTCATTTTCAAAAAATACTACAATAAACAGAGATCATACCCTCTTGACTGCAGTGATTTCACTTCCTGTTTCTTCGTCAGAATACTCTTCATCAATTAGAATGTTGACCGTTGCATCATCAGATATATTTAGGAAGTATTTGCATTCCTAACTGTCACTTGAAAAGTGATGGTGTGATTATTCTTCATTGTTTCATAATCACTTTGAATTACTTTCAAAATACCAGTTGTTCCATCGATAGCTACTGGTAAGTAGTTTGAACCAGGTACAATGTTAAATTGAACACTTCCACACGATGCTGAGGAGGAGTTTTCATCACTCAGTGGAAGACTACCAATCAGACTTCCATTGATCCAGTTAGAAAACTTGGTTTTGAAGGTGAATACTGTCTGAGTGAATTTTGGAATTCTATGTACTAAAATGGTAAGCATATAATCTCTACAAAGTTAATATTCCACAATATATATATATAAACCAGAAACGAATTATGAATCATGGAATGGACAATATTTCTTCAACTGTAACCAATGCACAATACGAATGATTGAACGTTTTTACAAATAGATGAACCAATTCATGAGGAGATTTTGCTTTCAGTTGACCAACTGATGATTTTCCAAGATTTCTTATAACAAGATGCGAAGTGAATTTGACTACAAGCTTATCAAGAAATGTGAATTATTATCCATTCAGTGTAATGTTTATTTCTTCTACAAGTAATGTAGTTAATGAAGAACTCAGGTGCGGAATACCAATTTATTGTTCAATGCAAAATTATAGAGTTACATTGAGTACTTCATTTCCAAATCCTACATCACTTATCCTTACATCATTCATGATTCTTCCATCTCTCAATCACTTCATGCTTCCCTATTCTGTTTTATTCAGTGCTATTTTCTCAAGCTTCTTTTGAGAGACATTCAACTTGTGATTTGTTTACATACTAATCATGTAGACAGGGATAAGTAGAATACACCACAGTAAATCTTATGAGCTAGCGATAAAAGTCTTTAGCATCATCTTGATAAGGAAATGATAGAATGTAACCAAATATTTATAAAACCGAACAGAAAATTGTCTTGTTATGAGCAATATTGACTAGTTAAACCATAAATGACTGACTTACCTCGCTCTTCACAGGTTTTCCCGATCCAACATGTATTACATACACACGTTCCATTAATGCAGTGACCATTAACACAGCTCCTATTCAAAAGAATTGTGTATTGCGATCTTATACACACCAGTAATTTAGAATTAGTACATTAGTGAAATTCGTTATGCATGTTTCAATAACTTTAGTTTTAGTGCGTGAAACGACTTGCGAAGTTAAACATTATTATGTTAATAAAAATCAGTTATTTGAGTCTGAAGATGAGATACAAGGTGTATACTTAGTACAACAAACTTTTATCGTCACATCAGCTAAATATATCGGAATATGTATTATTTGGATATCTGTTCGACTTTGCTTATGACCTGGCCATCCTAAAATCGTAATTTAATGAATATCTCTGCACAGTTTAGAACTTCTACAAGTTTATCCATCTTGCAAAGTGGTAAATCGAAACTAAGAGTAAAGTGCTTTGAATATGATTTCAATACGAAATTGCTGACTGTATTTACTACACAATCAACAGCAGATGATTAAGATCTACGGTTTGTTCATTCAGTTCAATCATAAACGAAACCGAAAATAATGCCAATAAATATCCTGAAATTCTTGAGAAGTGTGCTCAGCTTACTTTTAACTACCATTCTTATACGCAATTGATGTGATATTCCAAACAAACAGAAGCGTCAGCAAACATGCTTATATCAAGATAACGCATTAGCATTAATGGCTGACTAAAGATCAACTAAGTTTCACCCTTGTTTTAGACAGTCTAAATATTTCAAATTGCTTTTTGTATATTACTGAACAGTTTTCGCACTTACCAAAAATATTGAAAATATCAAAATCAACAGTCAGTGAAACTATGGATACACTATTTCGAGAAACTTTATCTTCAGCACTGTCTTTCATCGAACGTTATATTGAAAGTTATATCATTCAACTGAAATGTCCCCAGGCCAATACTCTTAATTAGTTTAGAACGGTCATTTAAACTAATTATGTCGAAACGTGTTTAGTAGTTCTGACTACTTTAATCTTTTCAATGGGCATTCTATGTGTTAGCTTCTAGAGGTGATCCTCTCGTCATTTGATTTTTTTACCAAGTAGTTGCCTGTCTTTAGGCTCAGTTACTGGTTTAAATAGACTGAGAAAATGTTTGTGGTTAGTTTGCACAGTAATAATTTGCAATTTAGTTCACGTATATCGAATGGTAGAACAAACGTGTTTGGGATGTAGTATTGATACATAAAATTGAAGATATTGCTCTACTACTTGTTTGTAGCATAGTTTAATTTGACTGTGATTATAGTTGACCGCTTCCTCTATCGTTTGAGTCATATTAGTTCAATTGGACTAGCGATCGCGAACTCTAGACATAAATAGTTATAAACTGATTTCTATTCTGTATACAACAAGTGAAATAAATGTCTTGTCACTGCTCAGTAGAAATAATTATACCACATTTTGTGTTACTTATGCATCTACATCACACACAAAGTTGTTAGGTGGTTGAAGATAGTCGGTAGGAAACGCTGGTTGTGTGTTATTCGGGCTTGCTAGCAGCTAAGTAAACCATAGATTTAGATCAGCACTAAGAACTAAACATACATGATATTAACGATT